ATTTTACAAACAGAACCTTCACATATCTTAATGTTTTAAAACAACCTGGAAAAAATTCTGTCACAAAAAACGAGGGAAAGTTAAACTAATTAAATTCTTAAACACAAGATATTTTGAAACAGAGCAAAAAGAAATAAAAAATGGCTTAGTAATAATATTTTCCTAAAAGTGTAATTTTAATGCATTACCATACTTGCCAAATCAGTTACACTCAAAAATCAGGAGATTTTTAAGAAGTCTTGAGAATTTTCCCAATGACAAAAAGATTTTTTTAAATAATAAAAATGGATAGAAAGAAAATATATTTTTAATATTGAATTAACTTTAAATATTAACTAATTAATACCTGAAAGTTCAGTAACTATTTCTTAAAAGCAAAAACACTTCACACACACACAAAAAGTTTAATTGCTTGTACCTTCTAATAACAAAAAAATTGCTCTAATCAGTTTCCCTAATCATCAAATAATACTTTAACCAGATCGATAATCATTGATTGCAAAAACATGAATTAATGGAACTCTGCCCTGTAGAATTGGGTTAGGAACATCGAATGATGGCAAAACTGAGTGTAAAAAACACACAAATCTTTGTTAAGATCCAAGGACAAACATACTCATTTTTCACAAGATAAACTTACAATAATCGGAAAATGTGTTCCTTATCAAGCATTTTTTTTTTTTTTTTTTTTTTTTTTTTTTTTTTTTTGAGAGAGAGCTTTAAGGCTTACATTTTGTACTATTATTTTGAGAAGTGCTAGTTAAACTGCTTACAAGTGCAGAAGTTACTTAATTTTTCTCACACCTATTTTTAACACTCGAAGTAATAACTATATCTCCATTTACATATGGTATTTTATAACTTTCAATAGAGCCCTTTATTTTAACTCAAGAAGTATTTTCTTCTGGGAAGCACGTAAAACACACTGCTCATTGGCAAGACAAACGAAATAACATCTTGCTTTGTGCCAAATGACCGGCAGCTGTATTTGATTCTCATTGGACGAACTGTATTTGATTCTCATTGGACGATGTTTTCGGACTTGCACACAAAGGAGAAACACGCATTTTCAGATGCTGAAAATCACTTTTTTGGGTGGAAATAATGAAGTATTAAGCTAAGTTACATAAAAATTGTAAGAAATTTTAAGAATAAGAGAAAGTTGGGAGAAATATGTTGCAAAATGGGGTGGTGAGAATATGGTCGGAAATTGGGAGAGTTGGTAACTTTGCATTACTATTATTTTAATGATATGGTAATAGCATAATTATATTAGCTAAAAAAATCATCATTAAAGTCACAAACCGCTAAATTAAAATTTTTATAAACTGATTTTAAAATCCCCATAGTTGCTGATGCTGAACAAAAGAATTCATGATGCAAACAAAGAGTAATGCGTGTCATGAATATGCACTGCCAAACCAATGCAATTTATAGTGTTTAAAAAAAAAATCCAAAATTTGAAGAAAAAAAAATCCCAAAACTAGAGTAATTTTAGTACAATTTCTGAGAAATTCACAAAAATTGGCAGATACGTTATTTTGCTAGAATAGGGTTCATACATATTTCTTTACAGTGAAATTAAGTTCTTTTAAACACCATTAATGAAAAAAATTAAGGACCTATCAGCTACGGGAAATGAATAAATTAAAGTAATTTACCCATACCTGAATTTCAAATTGCAATACCATTCAAAGAATAAGATAATTCCTCCAAATTTTACAGTGCCACCCAAAAAGATTAAGGGTTTAGCAATGCTAACTGCATATTGAAGGGCTCAGGTTTGAATCCTGGAGAAGACATGAATGTTTTTTAGTCTGTGAGGAGGCATAAAAGCACTCTAAATACATGGTGAGCTGGAACTCCTCTCGAGAAGTTGGCGGTAGGGGAAAAGTGGTGGGAGACCTTTGGACCCGAACCCTGTCCAGGATGTTCTTCAAAATCAGAGGCAGAATTGGTCAAAGTCATACTGTCATCTGTAAGGTGCTCAAGGTTTTTGCCAACGACAGGCACAAAGTTACACTCCTTGCCACGATGAACTTCGTGGGCTTGTTATGATGATATTGTCAGACAAATGAGATTATTTACAACAACATATTTTACAGTTATAATAATCCCACATATTTAAAAGAAGACTAGTTGCATTTAAGTTTTATTAGCAATTAGTTTTATATTGATTATTTCTTTCATGCCTCGTTTCATCATGTACTCACTCAACCTTGAGGTTTATACAGATTTTATGTCAAGCGGTATTGTTAAAATGAGAAGTAAAATCATAACCAGAATGATTTGTAACAGAAGTTTCGCTGTTGCCACCACTGCTGCTTGCAAAGAGAGAGAGAGAGATGATGATGATCAGTACTGATATGAATTCTTGATATTGGCAAGATAGGTATGTGTTGCAAGTCAGTTTCACTTTGCCTATCTGAACTAGTCAGCATCATAGCTTCGCATAGATTTGCTGGAGTTACAATTCAGTTAATGTACAGTATTTAATATAAAGTTCCAATATGCTGCTAAAACACCAAAAGTAGTTTATATTATTTTAAGTATCATTTGCTGTAAGGGATAAAAATTTGTGTTAATTTTTACATTTTTGTGTTGCATCTTGCATCCACAATAAGCATTAAGAGAAGACCTTAACATATTGAAATAACTTTTATAGGTAAGCAATTATTTATAATTGCGTATGTAAATAGTTAGATACCTTGAGTCCCTACAGATTTACATGGTCACTATTAATTATTTTTTTTTATTTCTAAAATACGTCTGTAAAAAGCACTATTCAAATCCTAATCTGAGAACTTTTTACAGTTTAAAATACAGATAATTATCCATGATTTATGATATTCATTCTAGACCAATATTCGAATAATTACAAACACGCACACACACACACACAAAAATATAAATAAATAAATAAATACCAACAACAAAATAATAATAATAATAATAAAAACCACACCATGTATGTTTCATAGTAACAATTCACAACAAAACATTTATGAGTCTTTCTAATTTGAAAATTTTCAAAATATTTCTTCTTCTTAACATCTTTTTTGTTTCAAGAAACAAATCAATATTCCCACTAGTCTTTGCTTCATTCCCTAATTTTTGTTATTCTAAAGAACTGTGTGTATTTAAAAGGTACAGAAGATGCTAATTTTATTTCTTTAATAATGTGAGTATTGAGAATACATATGAAAGAATACAAAATTAGTTGTGGCAGAATTTTTAGAAGTTACTGAGGCAATGAGCAAGAAAATTTAAGGATGGCAAAATCTTTAGAATTTAGGACAGACACAGGGCAGCAGAATATAGGACCCATAGAGAATGGAACAGGTGTCAAAATACCCAATGTATGGTGCAGTGAGACATATAAAATGTATCTTTTACATTGTCAGTTTCAATTTCTTTATTAATAGAAAAACTCCTTTCTACAGATACCTATCCATGTGACATGATTACAACTAGTTTTGCAATTTTCCATGCCTTTATCTAGTGAAAAGATGAGAAAATAAAGGGAAGACAAACATGTTAAGAGGAAGACTCCTAGGATCAAAAGCAGAAAATTAAAATAACTTTGTTTTCACTGTTCTTCCAAAAATTTCCCATAAACTAAAAAATTCATGACAAATTGCCTAAACACATATTCTTTGTCTGTTAATACCATGAAAAATCTTTCATTCTAACACTTTTTTTTTTTTTTTTTTTTGAATCTTCTGGAATAGTAGGTAAATAAATCTTGCTTTCAAATCCTTCTAAACCTTCCGAGGCAGAAAGTCTAAAAATTATCCTTGATAACTCTGTAAAAGTCAGAACATTTTTGAATAAAAAGTTCAGGATCAGAAAAGAAATGTGTAAAGTAAAATTTTAAGAGAAAACTGATACATGTTTGAATATTCTGAAACAACTACATGGGGGAAATAATAAACTCTAATGAAAACATATAAAAGAAGAAAAATTAGATTAATTTTAAAACAACTAAAGTAGCTTTTACTAAGAAATGCTTCGGAAACTACGTTTCATGGCAGTTATTTATTATCTTATCAAAATATTCTGAAGTCATCAAAATGGAAAGTAAAGTTATTTTAAAATGACAAGGGAAAATAAAAATGTTTTATTTTAATGCTACTTCTTAGTTACAATTTTAATATATTAACGTCTTTTAATATATTAATGTTTATAAATTTTATTATGTTTCTCATCTTTTATTAAGTCAAAAATTCACAAATACCCAGATAACAAATTTTGTACACAAATTGACACTGAAATTGCCAAAACACCGATAAATCACCAAATTAGTACTGCATAATAAAAGAAATCATACCTCAAGGGGAAGAATGTTTTTGATATAATATTCTATGAACTCTTCATTCTCAAAAAGGAAATAATTTCAAAATTTTAATGTTTCAATCACAGCACATGAGGCACAGCCTTATGTTCCTCATGCCCTGTTCAGAAGTGAGAAAGAATTCAAATGATAACTCATGAAATACATATTTCTCATTGAATCAAAAAATATTTCTCCAAAATGTTAATTTACACCCAAAATGGCAGTTGTAAAAAATCTACAGAAATGTCATATAAGTAAAACTAAGGACCTTATGATAATTTGGGCCAAAATTAAGGACCAAAAATCATTTTTTAAAAAAAACCTAAGGTGAAACTATATAAATTTTGTAAAACATAAAACTTTTGAACATACTGCTATGCTTTTTTTCACTGCAAACAGCACTGACAATAATAACAATGGTGTTAATAATAATAAGAAGAAGAAATTTAAAATATGCTAGAAAAACAGATTCATTGCAAAACACTGAGCATATTCTCTATTGTACATAGAGGCATCAAATATATACTGAGTAAAGCCTTCTATAATTACCTGGTATCTGACTTATATGATTACTAATTTTGAGTCATACTTTGAATGCTGTCTCATAGTTCAGAATTATAATTTTTGTCACTTCATAATTGAATGACTCACAGAAAAAGGATACAATTTCTGAATTAGATATAATTTCACGTCCATTTGGATGAAACACACCATTGTGAACAGCATTGAATTTGTCTAATTTATGAATCATTTGACCAGACCTTATGTCCCAAACAAGCCCGTCGGAAAGAATCAACTGATCAGAGTAGTCAAATGTAGCTCTGTTTGGCGTATAGTTATTTCCCAGTTCTTCACTTGGAAAATGCTGCAGCTCTGCAAATGTTGCAGTGTCAAATATCTGCAGAATAAAAACATGTTTTATACTATGCATATCTTCAATGAATAAACAAAGAAAGAAAATCACAGTTTAAATCTTTGCAAGATTAGCAGTACACAGCACTGAAAGGTGCTGTATATAAGTAATCTCACAAAGTAAAATCTTGCAAATTTTATACTTTTAATAAACAGAAACACAGTGCTTGTATATTATAACAGCAAATGTAAAAGAAAATCACCATCTCCACAATGAATTATCAAAGTTGACTGCCAACTGAAAACCAGCCCTATTTAATACCACACACAAACACCCTGTTCTTTCAAGAAAAAACATTTTACGTACGATGCATAAACTGAAAGTACATATTGATCATTCTTTGAGATGTAAAATATATTATTAATTTCAGAGTATCAAAGAGTGAGAAAGATGTGACAACTCTTTCAGAGAAAAATTTACTTTCTTACTCTTACTCTTTCAAGAGAAAAGCAGTTTTACTCCAAAATAGAATATATATATATATATACATATATGTGTGTGTGCATTTATTTATTTTTATTTTATTTTATTTATTTTTTTTTAAAGACTTTATCAGCACACCAGAAAATAACAGAATAAAAGGAAACCATGTATGGTTAGGTATCACCTAAAGAGCAAGAGTACATTGTAATGGTACCAATACTTATAATACTATACCAATACTGTTTGAAAAAGCAGAAACCTTCATGGGTATGCCCCAGCATAAAAAGCTTGAATTCTTATAAATATTAGTTTCTAAGTTATCAAAAGCACACTACATAAAAGTGGGGGACCTTTATATTAAGACACAGAAAGTAGAATTTTCATTTGACTTTCCAATAAGAGTAGTAAACTAAAACCACACTTGTATAGTATGACCACAGCAAACAAAAAAGTTTCACCTTTAAGAAAGCTGCATGTTACAACTCTTAGAATCATATCTTCATACAGGTGTTTCTTCTTGCATACAATTTAAGTAATGCCAAAGCAAAAGAAACAAGACCTTTTAGAAGCCATATCAAAAGCAGTTGTAGATGTACATCTATCAGAATCTATATGCAAGAAAAAGTATAGGAAGATGTATGAAAAAATAAATGTAAGCATAATTTTGATACATTTTATGTTTTTTTCTTAATGTATGAGTTACTGCAAAATGTTTTCTCTTTGGCAGTTTTTTCATGATGCACATTTTGTTTCAGTGTACCATGAATATGAACCAAGGATTCAGTCCACATGAGGAGAAACATCTAGATCATTATTCCACCTCCGCCAAACTTTACTGTTGGCACAATGCATTTTGGCAGGAGATGTTCTTTAGGCAGATGCCAGACCCAGACCCTGCCATCCGAAAGGTATCTAGATGTATCTAGATTCATTGCTCCACAGAACTCATTTCCACTGATCAAAGGTAAACTGTTAGCACGCTTTGTGCCACATTAACCAAGCAGTGCAGTTGGAGTTTTTTTATCAAAGGCTTATGGGCAGCAGCATGCCCAGGAAAACCAAGCAGATATGCTTTTGAGATAGTAAATATAACATACAAGTAGTCTAGTTAAGTCTGTACTTGCCGAATATAGATTTCTCCTTATTGGAGACAAATTCTCCATGTTCTTGTGCCCAGTTCTACTAAACATTATAGACACTGAGTTATGATAGCAAAATTTCTAACACTTCTGAAGTACAGTCAAAAGTCGTTAATCCAGACACCCATAATCTGGAATGATCCGGACCTCTAAGCTACAAACTTTCTGCGCATGCGTCAACGCATAATGTGTTCATGCATGCACGTATTACTTTTACGCATACGCATATGCATGTGTGCATGTGCATAATACGTTTACGCATGCACGTTTAATGTATAATGGACAATATAAGCTAAGCTAAAATTATCTATTTCAGTTAATGTTGCAGATTGCGTTGTTCCTTATTCTTCGAATTGGATCCTGCTTATTATTTTTTGCAGACTGTTAGAGCAGTTTTATAAAAATAAGCTTGAAATTTTGATTATGTCAAACGGAATTTCCGATGCTGGGGCTGCCAAAGGATCTGCAAAGCGAAAGTATGTTTCGATGTTCATCAAACAAAAAGTGGAATCGCTGCAAAAAAATGGATAAAGGCATAACCTTTGTTTCTCTAACCATTCCGAAATCTCTTTATCAATTTCACGCTGCTCTGCTAGGGGGGAGGGGGGAGGTCGCGCAATGAATTGGAAGTTGATCTGTCAGCACTATCCTTATCTTCAGGGCAGATGTTTTTATTTTATTTGGCTTATAATTCCTTACTAAATGTAGTATTTCATCTCGATGTACTCCGTCTTTGATATGATTTAAATCAAATTCCTCGTCATTATAATTCACTTCCTATAGTGAAGAAAGTGACACAAAGGTTATTGAAAACGAAAAATTAGCCGGCATTCTCGACACAGCAATTATAGGACTTGAACAGCGGAACTTTGTAACTGAACAAGAAATTATGTCTGATTATAGAATTAAAGAGAAAGTATTATCACATAAAACGAAGCAACTTAAACAACTTACATTGAAAGAAATGTTTAATAAAGTAAACAAATAAATATTAAGCTTTTTTTTTTTGTAAATTTTGATACTCTTTAGATCATAATTGTTCTTTATTTCATAAATTACGGTTTCATATTTTTAATTTTATAATTTCTGCATGCCATCTTACCAGATTTAAACTGATGATCTATAATCCGGAATCGCCGAAGTCTGGACGAATCCGGATTAAAGACTTTTGACTGTATATTATTATTTCAAATTACTGGATTTGGCCCAATACAAATATATACCAAAAGTCATTATAAACTGACAAGGCCTAAGATCTTTCATTTATTTTGTATCAGGTCATCCCATAAGTAATGTCATTTTGCAGACAGAACTTGTTACAATTATATTACAATCTATTTAAACAAGAGGTTTTCATGGATATAGAAATACAACTGAGCAATGACAGCTTCATTTAGATAAATTTTGGCATACAGATACAAGGTCACTGTTCTAACTGGCAAGACCCTTATATATAGAGTCTAGAATACTTTTTGTGATGTTTCTAAGAATATATATATATATGTGTGTGTGTGTGTGTGTGCATCTTAAAATATGTCCAAGAAATTAAAACAGTACATATAAAGTACATAAATCCAGATATCAAATGCAAGGGGCATTTTGACATAAAAAAAAAAAAAAAAAATTCTTTCTCATGACAGTTTTGGGAAATTTGTGCTTTCTTAGCAAAAACACGGGGCGGTCAGAGTGTTAAGAATTACTTATGAAAATGGTGATGTTGTGCTTTAACAAATGGCATTAATGTTACAAATGCTGTAAAAGTAAGGAGGAATTGTACGGTAAAGGTATTGTGAATATTTTATAAGCACTAATGACGATTCAGTACACTTTTTCAATAATGATGCACTGAAAGCTACAGCTGAAAGCAATGCATATCCAACTTTTAAAGATTTGGTAGAAAAGGTTAATTTGTCATCATCAACATTTGAAGGATCTTGGAATGGTATCTAACTTTAGTGGGCGGTGTGAAAAAACAGTAAACTATTGACACTGGTGTTTTACCGCTTGTATATTTTCTAGGATGGAAAAGAGTACAATGAGGCACTTGAAATGGATCTTCAAGACTTTTTCTCCAATAAGTCACCCAGACTCTTTCAGAATGGTGTAAAGAAGAACATGTTAGTTCTTAAAGAATGAGATTTAAAAAAAAAAAAAAAAAAAAAAAAAAAACTTAAAATGGTGGAAGAAAGTTGTTTCATATGGGGAATACATAGATGATTAATGTAGTATCTTACTTTTTTTAAACTCTACTTAAAAAAAGGACAATATTTATAGGATGACCTGATGTATTATAAAAGTGAAACCCTCATTCATGGAATGAATGAAATCATTAAGAAAGATGCACATTACATCTTAAAAAATTCTTCTTTTATAAAATTAATTGAAATATGTTTCTAGTATTTTATCTACAACTCTTAACAAAATTTAACTTTTAATTTCCTGACTTTCTACAAACATAGACTGCTTAGCAAATTATGTAACTATAATAAAATTTTTGCATTTGCTACAAAATACAATGAATTAACTACACATATTATTAACATTTAAGTCTTTCTCATTGTTACTATGTAAATTTAAGAAACATGAGGAAATATGCATCTAAAACTTTATACATACATTGAAATGGTTTATCAACTAATTCTGGATACAGAAAAGCAAGGATTTTTTGTAGAAGAGAGATTTCAATTAATTTCAATGTTCCTCCCCCCTGATGAAGTGACACTGAGATTTATTGAATTCCTCTTCTGTTTTTGTTCATTTTTCTTTTAATTTCATAATTTTCTTATATATATATGATTTTATATTTATATATAAATTTTCATATATATATATATAGGGGGTTTTGCTTGTTTGAAATGTTTTGGTTTTAAAATTTTTTAATTTATTACTGCATTTCTATGATTATTTGAAATTTATTAATTATGAATTTCAATTTCTGGTCTTTGTGAAATATTAGTTCTAAATTTCTTACTTTATGTCTTTAATGATAATTTTTCTGCAGCTTAATCCAAGAAAATAACTAGGCATGTTTGTATTTTGTTTTCAAAAGAATTATTTTGTAATTATTTGAATTATTTGTATATATTAAGAATTATTTGCATATATATATATATATACTATCTAGCAGTAAGTATCTGGACACTTATGTTAGAAAAGAAAAACAAAAATTATTCAAATTCAATAGTTCATAGAGCCTCTACGAGTGATAATTACAGCCTCAACCTTCTGGGGCACGCTTTCCACAAATCCATGATGGCTATTGGAACTTTCTTCCACTCGGCTTGCAGAAAACATGTCAGTTTCTTCACCGATATTGGATGGTTGTTGCACCCCTTAATTCAGCAATCCAATTTGTCCTAGAGGTTTTCAATTGCATTCAGATCTAGGCTTTGGGCACATCAGTTCCCTCAGTTAACCCTATTGACATCATACCAATCCATGGTGGACCTCACCACATGACAGCTGGTGATGTCATCCTGAAAGAAAGTAACATGGGTACAACCTGAAAAACTGCCACAACGTATGAAGAACACTGTCATCCAAAATAGTGCAGTAGGCATTGGTGTTCAGTTTACCATAAATACGGACCAAGGATTCAATCCACATGAGGAGAAACATCCAGATCATTATTCCACCTCCGCCAAACTTTATTGTTGGCACAATGCATTTTGGCAGGAGATGTTCTTTAGGCAGATGCCAGACCCAGACCCTGCCATCCAAAAGGTAAAAGGTATATCTAGATTCATTGCTCCACAGAACTCATTTCCACTGATCAAAGGTGCACTGTTAGCATGCTTTGTGCCACATTAACCAAGCAGTGCAGTTGGAGTTTTTTATCAAAGGCTTATGGGCAGCAGCATGCCCAGGAAAACCAAGCAGATATGCTTTTTTATGGATGGTATTCATCCAAACAATAATCCTAGTTGCCTGTTGAAACTCCTGGAGTATGTAGGTCATCAGATGGGTGCGATTCTTTTCAATTTCTCTGGATAGCACCCATCGGTCTTTATCTCGCAGTTTCCTGGATCTGCACATTCCAATCCTTCCAATAATTACCACTCACCTTCCACTTCAGAATTACATAGCCCACTGTCGAATTTGGTTAATTCAGGCCACTAGATATGCCCATTAACCTTTTAACTGTCATCCAAAATGTCACACCCGAATATTACTCGGGCTAATTTTTTTTGAGTGCATCGTATTGTTATACCCGAATATATACCGTGAGATTTTTATTTCGGCTTCAGTTCAACAGATGGCAGCATTTGATTGAAGGTTTCAAAGGATAGAGGTTAAAGTTCAAAGTGCACGGCATTTTTTGATTTTTTGACTTAAAGGCTCATTTTTGGAATAAAAAAAAAAATTGACAACTTATGCACCCAAATCATCAAAATAACTTGACAGTTAAAAGGTTAAGGATCGAAAATTTTCGTAATACCTGATGATTACACCTTTCTCGAAATCAAATAACTCTGCACTTAGTGGCACCTTGCATGCCACTAATGACACTGTTGTATCCTACATGATATTTAATGTTAGAGGGCGTGCTGTGTATCAGGATTGCAGACATCGACATTTGCATGGGTGTCCAAATACTTATTGGTAGATAGTGTACGTTATACTTTATATATATATGTGTGTGTGTGTGTGTGTGTGTATTATTAGAAAAGTTTGTCATATATCATCTCCAAGAAATAGAAATTTAATTAAAACAATGAATTATTGGAATAAATTTTATTCAGTATTTTAAAATGATAAATTAATAGAATAATATACATATATATATATATAATTGTAAAGATTAATTATAATATACTTTTTAAAGATATAACATATCTTAAAATATTCATTCTGCCAAAGAAATGTAAAACAGTAAAAGACACTAGCTCACACTGTGCTATAGAAGAATGATGGAACTAAGTGTAGCATCTGGACAATTCCAGTACGTTCCCTCTTCATTTACATGTAAATTGTTACAATGCAGACATTTTTATGCCTCTTAAAGTATATGCATTCCATACAATGCTAATTAAACTCATTACCTTAAGAAAAAACATACTATTAAAATAATATATATATAATATATATACTTTGCCCCAAAACATCAGATATCCTAGAGATTTTTTCGGGATTCCATGTAATGATTGATTTTTCAAACATTTCTATTATATCAAAAAGAAGATTATCATCAAATTAAAGGCTCTGACAGGACACGAGTAAAAGGCAGATAAAATTTGAATGCAGGCTTATGTGGATGTAAGCCATAGATTAAAACAGAATATGCTTTCAGGAGATTTTGGAGCTATGAGAAATTACAGGCCTATATCGTGAATAGTATTTGGAATTCCTGAACAGAATTACAGACCATTAGTATGATAATGGAAATCATATTATCATGTTCTTTGACAATAAAGACACGGCTTCATTAGTATACACATGTAAAAGTTCAGGTTCAAGATAACATTCAGCAATAGATTTAACCAAATTCACTTTATTATGCACATAAATCAAAATAAGAAATAAAATGTAACATACCAATAAATTAGAAATTTGGCAAAGTGACGATAATTGCATTGATGCAAAAGACAATTACAATAATTTATAACTAAAAAGTACATTAAAATGATTTCCATCTTTCAATTATTACTAGAGGAATCTAATTTTGATACGGATGGTGTGATGTTAAGTTTCATTAACATTTTATTAAACATTTGCCTGCAATATTAAACTAAAATTTGTTTTAGGTAAGATCATAAAAAATATTAAAAAATTTCTCACAGAAGCAGAAGAATGCTTTGTGCCAACAGCTCTGTCTACAGTACGTTTTCCAAATTCCATATGTGAGACTTCATAAAAATTATGCCTGCAATAATAAAAGTGGCTTGAACCCAATACAGCATGAAAATGTAGTATGAATTTAGTTAAACAAAGAAATACCAATAATAAGCTAAATATAAATGCAGTTATTTTAAAATATTAAATTAAAATCAATGCAGACGAATAAAACCTAAATGTATTGATGCAGAATCCTGTTATTACTCATATTAACATTTTTTTTTTTTTTTTTTTTTTTTTTACAAAATATCAGCGATGATTTAAACAGACTGGTATATTTGAAGTATGGGCTATCTGCCTAAGAGGGGGGGGGATGCTTTTTTGAAGGACTTTTTAAGAGAAATTGGCACTTATTTATATTACATATGAGGAAAATTACAAATTTCCCATGCAACCAGCCTGTTTTTACATGGTTTGATCAAGGATCAAAATACCATTATTGAGTGGTCTTAATGCTTTGCCTATTAATAATAATGATTATTACTGATATACATGCATACAAAAGTTCTTACAATAATGAAATTTTATTTGGATGAAATACAGAAGATTTTGAAAGCACAAGAATGAAAAACTAATGTGAAATACATATACACCGAAAGGCCATTACATTATGGCCACCCTGTTTAAACATGTAGGACCACCTTTAGCCCTCAAAACTGCTAGTACCTGGCGTGGCATTAACTCTACAAGGTGCTGATAGGTAGTCTGATGTATCTGGTACCAGGCACTCATCAACTGGTCCTGCAATTCCTGCACATTGCGATAGGGTAGCATGGTAGCATGAATTTGGTTTTCCAGGTGGGCCCACAAGTGCTCTATTAGATTAATGCCAAGATGACCCGAAAGTCACTGGAATGCTCCTCAAATCACTTCGTAATGATTCAACTCTTATGACATGGTGCATTAGTTAGTAAACACGGAAATACTGTTGTCATTGAATGGGTAAACCTGGTCTGCAACAAGGTTCATGTAAAGCACAGATATCAGGGATTGTTCTATGGAGATTATGGGTCCTAATGTGCTTCCATGAAAACATTGCTCACATCATAATACCCCACCACCAGCCTGTCTCCGTCCAACTGTGGATCTAGGAGCCATCCGATTTGGAAATCGGCGATGTGATGGACCAGAAAATGTGATTTGTCGGAGCATGCAACTTTCTTCCAGTCTTCTAATGTCCAATTCTGATGTTTCTTGGCCTACTGCAGATGCAGCTGACGATGACGTGCTGTCAGTGCAGGGACATGTTTCAGCCTCTGGCTGCATAGGCCCATATGTAGCAATGTATGATGCACAGTGTGTTGAGAAACAGTGTCTGGGTCTCCACTGTTGTAGCTGGTGGTGATTTCGTCTGTCGTAGCTCTTAGATCATGGTGAACAATGTGTAGCAATCTCCGCTCTCCTCTGCAATCAATGCACTGTCAACGACACTCTACTAGCGGGCGACTTGTCATTTCACTATCCATACAGCACTTTTGATATGTGCTTACAACAACTGTGCATGAACAGCCCACTAAACGTGCTGTTTCTGATACTGATGTTCCCAGTCATTGAGCCATAGCGATATGACATTAGTCTGATAAATCAACTGCTTTTCCCATTACGTCACTAATCGCACTTTGTTTGGGAAGACAATACATAGGCACTTTATATACTCCTAACAGCCACACACGTGACTTAGTGAACCTATTGTTATAGATGGAGGGTGGTCATAATGTAATGGTTCTTCGGTGTATTTCTGAAGATCTAACTAAAAATGCACCTTGTGCCCCCTGAAGAAAGTATAGAAATTGATAAAAATCCCTAAAAATCCAAGGAAACAAGTTATCATGAGTAAAATCTTAAACAAGCCAATGAAAGAGGCTATTGTGGTTAAGACCTTTTGTCAGAAAGATCAGACAAAGTGTGACACATAGCTTTCCCATTTCTTATATTTAATAACCACTCATCCCAAAACTACTTTTTTCATTAAAATAAAAATAAACTTTGTAAATGAAGAAGTAGCTTTAGTCCATAACACACTGACTGTTTTATTCAATAACCATTTGCAATCTTCCAGTCAATTTCACAATTCTACTTCAAATAGCCTCTGATAATTTTCAACAAAAAAAAATTCCACTTGGGATTTGAGAATGTTACCTGAAATGAAATTACCTGACAAAGAGTTTTGTGAAGCATGACACAAATGGAAGTTTGAATGTAAGGGCCATATAGTAATGAATATTCTAACTCATCTCAAGCAATTTCCAAGAAATGACTTAAGATATATGTGATTTTGCATTGAAATAATGGAGTAATAACTTTAATATTCATAAATTTCAAACTTTTTTTGTTGTTCACTGTTGGCAGTACACATTAGAATCAATCATTAGACCCAATAATCGATGTTGTCTGAGGGGATAAAACTTAGCACATCATCTAGTTAGTTATAGACAATAGTGAACTCCCAAATGGTGCACAAAAGACACAAGGATTTCTAAATACACAGCAATACTGAAGACAGAAAATTAAACTCCTGAATTGTGTAACAAATTCATTTGCATAACAGAATACAAAAATGCAATACAGCATTTCCATCAAGCATGCATATTTAAATGTCAGACAGATCTGGTTACAAGCTAACTGCCTGATGTCAGCAAATGACTTACAATTCTCGTGCTTTGCAATACCACTTGTGCTAGTACAACATTATAACACTGCATCATCTCACTTTCCAACCTGTTTTCCATAACTTTTAGTTCTGCACTCATCTCCCTTTTGAAGTTATATAGAATCTTCAGACAAATCCTGAGAGAGATGGCTATTTCAAATTATATCTACAAGACAGCATTATACCTTAGAACCTTGAACACGTTAATCTGCTTCTGAATTAATATAATGGTAAGGCAATGTTGACTATTTTAAAACAATATTTTTCCTGGTTTGGGAAATTAAAAGTAATGAATTTTGCAGCATTTCTTAAAGATGAAACTGCTTCTCTAGGAAAATACTCCTATTCACAACTTTTAAAGACAAGTAAGTGTTAAGTCTTCATATTTAGTATGAATGATCATCTCAACACAAGAAAAACTGTGATTTCTGGTTATGCAGGAATTTCAAATTCTCATAATCAAATCAACAAATTACAAAACTGTCAAGTTAACAAGGATCATTCATCATCACTGCTATTCTTAAAAGATGCAATCTAATGATGTACTATATGCTTATGGTAATGCTTTTCCATGCTGTCCAGAATCTACATAAATAAACAAGAATGTCTGTCTGTGTGTTTGTTTGTTCATGATTAACTCAGTCATTACTATAGCTATCGTCACCTAACTTTCCACAATTCTTTTCTGAGTCATGGGAAAAGCTGACGTTCACGATATATATATAAAGTAGAGCTAAAATTAGAGATATTAATCAAAAACTCTGAAAACTCTAATTTTCACACTCATTTGTTTCGAGTGGCAACAGTCTCGCAAGCTACAGATAAAAATTTGCTTCATTTCGAGAAGTGTTGCCACTGCCCCCTTTCAAATCACAGAGTTTGTTAATAAATATCCAAGTTTTATGATGAAATAAAAATAACATTGCCAAAAATTAAATGCATTATTCCCGATTCCAAAAATTTGTGAAAAACTATTTCAACTATTCCCATCTTCGTGCAACTTTGATCAGCCGAGAAATTAATTAAAAACTCTGAAAACAGTTATTTACACACTCATTTTTCCAAGTAGCAACAGTCTCGCACGCTGGAGATAAAAATGCTTTATTTTGAAAAGTGTTGCTACTGCTTTCTTTCAAATAGTATAAAAAATCTGTAAGTTTTACAAAATATATATATATATATAAAGAAGAATGCCTGCTTGTGTATTTGTTTGTGTTATTGATTTCTGATCAATTATGATAAATTTTTTGCCCCATTTAATCAACTAAAATTGAATATTGGATGGAATATAGGTGAAATATTGGATGGAACTGAGCTTTTATGACCATTTGATTTGAAAGACAAAAATCATAAAAACTGCATGCCATTGTTGTTGGCATAATGAGAGAGAATTAGTTTATTTTTCTATTGAAATTTTTTACTTGGGTTCCATATTGTGTCAGACTGAAAAATGTATGACTATGAATCATATTTTTTTCATCGTTAATAGGGAAAGATTACAGTGGTATCATTCCCTCTGTTGTTAGATACACTATTCTTCTAAATCTAACTTAACTGGCATTGAGTACTTTTGCTGGTGTTAAATATTCTTCAGTTAAGGTTCTAACGATAGCTACTACATTTAGTATTCACTGAGGCAATTTAAATTTACCATTCACTGAGGCATTACAGATGAAGTGCTATCTAATAGACATAAGTGTTATTAAAAAAATTGTATCAAAACTTTTCAACCTTTACCCCTGCACTATGTTACTATGCATTGCAAAATTCACTGAAATACAAATCTTTTAAATGCTTACAGAATTTTGAATCATAATAATGTGGTCTGGTATATCATAGCTGGTACTTTTAATGTTGCCAAAACAAGATTACCAAACTTTAAAACATAACACCATCATTATATCAGACACTTTAATTCAACTGATGCACATAAGCATAATATAGGCACATGAATACTATCTTCAATAAGTGGTATCCCTTAGTGGAAACTTTTCTGAAGAAAATTAGCTCATTTTCACATTACACACAGGAAAAACCATGAAGATTACATACCAGCAGCCCATCTGCACAAAAATGAACACAGGACTACTAGTGTCCAATACTTGACCACAAGTGGGCCACCACTAAATTTCAACAGCAAAAATAGCTTTATTAATCAAATCGTTTGATCACAATCTTTATACTTATGCACCCAGAGCATGTTAAATGTAACACAGGCAGAACACAGTATGATCACAATCCCTGAACGAAAGCTTTTTATAATCACTCCCATACGGTTTACACGTATATAATTGCCTTCAAGCAAATGCTCTCAAAATGTGAGCTGCAAGGGAAGTGAAAATAGAAGATCCAGTGATTCCATCACCTTGGATACTCCCGATCAAAGCATGAATGGAGCCATTCTATGCTTTGCAATAATAATGCAGGTTAAAAAATTCTGTCATGTTACTTAAGAACCTCAAAGTGAGCTAATTCTGTCTGATTAGAGAAATTTGTTTCTTAATGCACATAATACTTACAACAAGTCAACACCTCCTTCAGTATTCCAGATAGAAGAGTTTCCAAGTCGACCACCATCTGATGTAATCACAAGTGGAGAATACTAAAGGAAACATATATATATATATATATCTTTTAGAAAACAATTAATATACTATGTATACAATAAACATAAATCAAAATATTATTCAGGCTTAATTCAGGTATAGCCAAGCTTAAAGCTTCAACAGAATAGAATTCTAAGCATGTATTTACATATCCAAAGCCTTCTAATGTGTCTTTAGTCTAAATAAAGCCAAATTTAATGTACATACAGCACAGGCATTAACGGAAAATTTAATACGATAAAAACAATAGACCGAGAAATGGGTCAATAGGATGTGAAAAAATATTGTTATTGGTTAATGGAAGTAAAGTTGGTATATTATACAAATCCTAGAATATCGAGCAGGAATATTCAGACACAAAAATCAGTTCAATTAATAGAGATCCTAGAATACTGCTAGGTTTCTTGAAATACGAAACACAAAAAATCTACTATATCTTGTGGGCAGTAGAACAATGGATCTTCCAGTTACTGCCTGGTTGTGCTAAGCACTATACCAGAGCAGCACGCACAAGACGAATGCAATATTTTCATATTCCTCCACTTAAAGGGTAACTGTAATGAGAGGATAAGACTCAGCCATATACAAGTGCTGATGATTTATTACCTATCATATTTCATTTGAGTCCTAGATTTCAGAGTAGCTGATATGAAAAATCAACTACAAATTCACTGGAAATCAAATGAAGGATCTTTCAACTGCTAGCTTTTCAGCCATAGTAATTAGCTACAGCACAAACACTTTTCTGCCATAGTGATTAGCTACAGCACAAACACTTTTCTGCCATAGTAATTAGCTACAGCACAAACACTTTTCTGCCATAGTTAATCACTACAAAAGAAAAGTATTTATGAGAGGCATGCTTGCAGAGTTATTAGATTTTTTTCAGAGCAGGAAACTAAAAATCAACTATGCTCTTAAAATGTGATTCGAAGTTCGGATCCTCCACTTGGCTAGCATATATGCTGTCATTTACAACATGAACATGCATGGGGAAATGCAATAATTCCTTTTATCACCCACTTAAAAAGTGGCTGGAAGAGAGGAACAACATACAACCAAATACAGATGGTGTCAAATTATTCCTTACTATACTTTATTCTGGTACCAAGTGCAGAACTACGTAGAACTTTTATTCCTGGTGCCAACGGTTTTGGAGCTAGTAGTTGCATGCTACCAAAACATTAAAGCACCATGAAAGCATGCATGGGAAAATGAGTAATTCCTTACATGCCATATTTCATTACAATGGCATAGCTGCCCGCCCGAAATCTTAAAAACTAAAAGATTTTTGGGAAGAAAATTGGTAAGTTTTCCTGCTGTACAGCGATGCCATTTTGAAGGAGCTCCAAACTGACTTAAATTAAGTTTGTAATGCATGATTCAGGATATTGAGCTATTTGTAATAGAATTCCAAGGTAAAATATACTAATATTTAATCAGTTATTCTAAGTTTTATTTTCTTTGCCTAATTTAATTTTGTCAGTTTCTTACACTTTTATACTAAGAAAATCCTGAGTAGTGAAGAAAAGCTTTTATTTATATGAATAACTTTTTAATACAAGGAAAATAAAATTAATAATCAGTGTACATAATATTTGTGTAGACAAAGTTATTAATGTACCATATACTCAAGTAGAATAAAATTAAATACAAATATTTCTAATTAAGCATTGATTGAATCTTCATATAAAAATCTCTAGATGTCTGCAGTAGATTAAGACAACACAGATAAAACGAAATTTAATAGAAAAATCAATAAAATGTAACAAAAAACTCAATTCAAATGAAATAAAATGTAATAAAAAATACAATTCAGATTAAATAAAATGTAACAAGAAAAATCATTCTGAAATTCACTAGGGCTGAGGGAATGAAACTGGCACAATTTAAACTTCATTTATTGCTAAGAAACATTTTCTTCAGAAAAGGCTGAAATTTTAACACTGGGAGATTAGGTAATCTATGGGAAGACTGAGAGATGTGATGAAAAAACAGGAGTTTCCCATTTCACAGCTATGTAGTGGTAAAGATTAATTTTTAAAAAAGGGGGAAAGCCCTTTCATTAAATTTGGTTTATGCAGTTGATGCAGAATGTTAGAGGAAAACATAGAAGGTGTCCCCCCCCCAGTCTCTCTGCTTAAGTTTCTCCTCATATAGCTCCACTACACCAATGATTCTTTTTTCTTAAAACCTCTTTTAGAGAATGCTTTACTTTATGAAGCCTCTAACACTTTTCTCTATAATGTATAGTATACAACAAAATCATAATATAAATAAATACACATAAATAACTTAAACACAAGAGATTAAGAATGCAAGAAAAAGTTTTTTTAAAGGTTTATTCAATTTATGTTTTATTACTTTGCATATTATTATTATTTAATTATATAATATGCAAAGTAATGAACATGTTTTCAGAAGCAAAACCATAGATTCTAATTGTGCAAGAGTTCAAATTTAATTAATGTGCACTTAATGTACTGGTAATGGTTGCACTTAATATACTGATGTAATTTCTTTTAACATTTGTCATAAAACTGCTTAACTTAATTCTTAAATCACCCTGTTTAAAAATATATATCCCGTTTCTTGTTTTCTATTCTAGTATTTGCAGTCCTCATTTTTATCATTATTATTATTATTATTGTGTTATCTTGTATTCAACTTCTGCATATTGCACTTATTGCATAAAAAATGGATACATTACAAAAAATATTATTTGTTTTTGAAATATATTGCATTAAGCAATTTTAGTGTATTTCATATGATTCTTTTTTCACAATATGATGTAGTTTTATGTAAACAAACAATTAAATATCAATTTTTTTATTAATAATTTTCTTTTTTTTAATCAATTGGATCTTGTTTAGGCTGATCAACTGCCAGTTCATATCTGAGCTACAGACCCTATGATCATCACTGATCCCTTTAAAACTCCAATGACTGCAAAGAAACTATACAACTCTGCTGGGAACTCCTGTGCTACAGCACCAATTTCTATGGCAACATTTTACAGAGGACAAAGAATGATGTTTTAAAGGCACTATCAGCAGTCTGTCATATACACAAGACTGAATTGCTACGCTGTGGTAGTAGTCTAAAGGGTATCAAAATTTACAAAAAAAAAAAAAAAAGCTTAATATTTATTTGTTTACTTTATTAAACATTTCTTTCAATGTAAGTTGTTTAAGTTGTTTCGTTTTTTATGTGATAATACATTCTCTTTAATTCTATAAACAGACATAATTTCTTGTTCAGTTACAAAGTTCCGCTGTTCAAGTCCTATAATTGCTGTGTCGAGAATACCGACTAATTTGTCAATCGAAATTTTTTCGTTTTCAATAACCTCTGTCACTTTCTTCGTTATCAGAAGTGAATTATAATGATGAGGAATTTGATTTAAATCATATCAAAGACGGAGTACATTGTGATGAAATACTACATTTAGTAAGGAATTATAAGCCAAATAAAATAAAAACATCTGCCCTGAAGATAAGGATAGTGCTGACAGATCAACTTCCAATTCATTGCGCGTGCGCGGCGTTAAAGATAAACAAACGTTAAAGTTTAGATAAACAAAGGATGTGCCTTTATCCATTTTTTGGAACAATTCCATTTTTTGTTTAATGGACTTTGAAACGTACTTTCACTTAGTAGATCCTTTACATATTAGTAAATATATATCAGAAATTCTATTTGACATAATCGAAAGTTCAAGCTTACTTTTATAAAATTGCTCTAACATTCTGCAAAAATAATAAGCCGAATCCAATTCGAAGATTAAGGAACAACGCAATCTGCAATATTAACTGAATTAGATAATTTTAGCTTAGCTTATACCGTCCGTCATACATTAAACGCGCATTCGTAAACGTATTTTGCGCACACGCATATTCGCAGCCGTAAAGGTCTTACGCGACGCATGCGCAGAAAGTTTGTAGCTTTGAGGTCCGGATTATGGGTGTCCGAATTAACGACTTTTGACTGTATTTTATCTAAGTTTCAAGAATTAAATAAAACAAATGAGATTTTATTAAATCTATCAGAAGTTATTGTATTAAACCTTTATTTTAAAAAATAGATTAATAACTGTATTGAAGGTATTTTAAGAAAAGGTAGCTAGGTGCTTTATTTTTTGCAAATATGGTTAAATAAAGCCTTCTAATTCTGAAATTTCTCAAAATAAAAGGACAAAGTTTTATGAAAATAGTTTGATATGGGTGGGACACTTGTGTAAATACAAAAAATTCTCTACCTTTACATAAAATATTATGTTGACCTAAATCTTTTTAATATGCTTGCTACAAACTGAAAAATTCAATGTATTTCAAAATCTGTAAGAACAAAATTAGAAGATAAAAAAAAGTACTAATTTTGGCAATTAATTATTGGATCATTGGTAAAATATCATGTTGTTGAATGTGTAGCAAGTCATTCTGAAAATAAACATGCCTCCGCAATTTTTTAACATTAAATAAATAATTTTCTCTGTGTAATTTATTAAAAGATGATGGATATTTAAATTTTTTAATCTTTACTTTTCTAGTATTTTCCACACATATTTTTTTAAGCAAATGTCTTTTTGCAAGCACTGTTTACAAGGGGGGAAAAGCACATGTAGGTAATGCACATTCAATTAAATTAAACATTTCATCCATAGAAGTATCTTACAGGTTCTGGAAACAAATACTAATTTTCATCTATCTTAAATTTACTTAATTATGTAATTTTACCATGCTTGTTACAAATTGGTTACTAAACATTGCTACTCAATAGTAATTCAAAATCCATGAGAATGAAAACAGGAAATATATTTTTAAAAAAAGTAACCAATGCATTACTTCATATTGTATGAGTCCTGCGGTGTGGTGAACAAAAATGCATATATCAGAGTTTTTATATTATTTTTGCACTGATTGAATTTTTGCGGAGAGCACTATTTCAAATAAGAGTGTTGGAATAAGGAGCACCATTACAAATAAGGAGGTTCTGCGGCCTGCGCAATCTATGATGTAGGAGAAAAACGAGTGTTAAGGTGGCATTCTCTTGGCAAGGAGGTTACAATGCATAAAGACTTCTTGAAAATATTTTTTTATGCATATCTCCATGAATTTTGCACAATACGTGAAAAATACAGTTGTTTACTAAATTTTTATTTTGCAGTCTTTCTACTCATATAACAACAGATATTTAAAATAAATGCATAATGAATATTTAAATTAATTAGAATTTTTGGATTTTATTTATTTATTCATTTTGCAATTTTATATCTGCTACTTTTGAAGGCAATCTGTGCTACTTTACCTAAAAATAAAACATTTTTGCAAATACCATTCAGTTAAATATTTCTCCCTAGTAATATAACTTTACAGCTCTTGAAACGAATAATACTTTTTTTATTCACCTACATTTAGTTAGTGGGTTTGTTTGGTAAACTTTATTATTATTATTATTTAAAGATGTGAGCCGATAGATGGTGCGTCATGCTAAAATTGATAATTACTAACAAGCAGTTGGCGAGCAGTATAAATTTTGCATCAGTGGGGTTCTATGAAGCATTCTTATCTGTATTGCAAATTTTTCACATGAAAAGCTGCAACAAATACAAGTTGAAATTTTTTTTAAGGAATGCAAGTAATTCTCGTGTATATTTAATAATTTCCACGAAGAAAATCATCACATTTCCATTACAAGAGTCTTATCCATTCAGACACTGTTGGGGCTTTATTGAAAGAGAATGACCGGAGCATTTCTAGGATCAGAATTTAAGAAAAAGAACTCACTACCACTTTTTTGAAGGCATATAATTCAAAGTAAAAGTCCACATTTTATGGAAAGAGTTTACATTCATAAATATAAACTTACCTCTTTTGACTCAACATGTGATACACCTCTAACATGGCAGTCTTGACTAAATTCTTGCTAATGGAGAAAAATAAAATATTTAATACAGCACAAATTAACCCCTTGATGCGCAGTAGTTGTGCCCTGAAACCACCAAAATCCCCCCCATTCTTTCTAAAATTTTTAATCAAAATTGATTACTTATCTTTTAAGGTTGCAATTTTTAGGTCTTTGTACTCCAAATCGGATGCCTTTTAAAATTTGTTTTCAATGATACAAAATAACTTCCTTTTATTAAACAACTTTAAATTTTAAATTTATTCATTACATACCATCCTTTCTACCATAAACAATAAAAATATAGCAATAATTAAACTACACATGTGAACAACCTTTGTAAACTTATGGCATTTTCTTTGTGGTTTCTGGGTGGAACAATTGAGCCAATAAAGCTTTCAACATAGTGAAGAGCAAATGTAAACATCGACTCTTCACAGTGGTTTTTGCTTCTGTGAAGCAGAAGTGTTTATGTTTATGAGGATACTGTTAAGGGGGACTGAAACCACAGAGTTATTATTATTACTAAACAATACGTGCACCTGCACAGTGAAAATGTGTTTTACAATTTCTTGTAAAAAGATCTTTCATAAATTTATTTTTATGTACTTGAAAATGGAAATTGTATAAAAGTTTTATTTAAATTTAAAATATTTTGTAAATATTTTTTTCTATGACTGAGGTTTAAAATGCCTTACAAAGGATTAGATGAATGAAGAACTACCTTCAGATCCAGAATCAGTGGTCTCTGAGGATGAATGTATTGGAGATGGAAATATACTTTTGCCTTTTCTTCCTTCCTGTTTATGAAAAGCTAGAGGATGAAAGTGACGATCAGTCAGAAACTGATGATATAAATTTACCAAGTCCTTTGAGAATCACACAGGTTATGTGCAATAAAAGGCAGAAATTACTTTTACGGAAGATCCAAAACTCATTGATATATTTACAACTTTCTTTACTCTTCCTCACAGAAATTAGTTTATTTCATAGAGATCAGTTTTCTTTACTCACAGAAATTAGTTTTTGAAACTAATTTCCTAAAACTCTTCAGGTTATGATGATTTATTTTGGAATAAACATTGTAATTGGCAATTTGCATTTGAATGATAACAACATAATGCCAAAATGAGAGGATAAACCATTTGACAAACTTTATAAAACTCAGCCTCTTCTGATGCATTTGTCAGGACGATTTGACAGTCTGTTAAGACTAGGAAAAAATAGTCGACTCATAAACACATGATTTCTTTCGAAGGCAGAAGTTCACTAAAACAATACTTGCCTAAAAAAAAACTAATAAAATACTGATATAAGGTGTGGATGTGTTGTGATGAAAGCAGTTAGGCTTGTAAATTTGAAATTTAAAATGTTAAGTGAGCTCTTGTATGGTAAAAATCATAGGGTGTACATGGACAATTTTTTTGCATCTTATGAACTTTTCAAGTTTTTAGAAATGAAAAATGTATTTTATCATGGAACTATAAATACTAAAAGAAAGAAAAACTTCTCAAAACGCTGATAGAAAATGCGAAATTAAGATGAGGTTACTGCCTGTACAGTATAATGGCAAAGTAACTTGTCTTAAATGGAAAGACAAAAAATGTGTTACCATTTTATCTAGCTTGGTCGATCCTATTATTTCATCCATCATAGAAAGCACACCAAAAAAAAAAAAAACTGGTTAGAAAAATCAGATACAATGTCCAAATACCTTTATAGATTATAATAAAAATATAGGTTTTCAGTTAAAAAGCTTATTCGAAATTGACAAAAAAGTAAAAAAACGGTGGCATGCTTTTTCATTTTAAAAAAATCACGCCCTATAAACATAAAAAAAACACAAACTTCATGTGTCAGATGAAAAGAGATTAAAGAATGCAGACTATATGCCAGAAAAATGCAAATCCCAGCAGTGCACATTTTGTAGTACAAGGCAGAAACCTCAGAGAACAAGATACATGTGTCAAACGTGCAGTGCTGGTCTATGCATGTACCAAAAAAACAAAATATGCTTTGAATAGTTTCATAGAAAATAACTTTGTTATTTGATATTTAAAAAAAAAGAATCACTGAATTTTTTTCTTAATCCTTATTATTTGCTTTATTATGATTTAATGTTATAGAAAAATTTACATAAATGTTTATTTGTTATTTTTTCTAATGATTTACTGTAAAATATATACATATAAAACACAATTTTTAAATACCAATTTTCTTTTAATTCATTAATTTCATCATTTATGGTAATGCAATCGGAACAAGGTAAGTTTTCTCCCCCACTACCTCAGTAAGTTTCAAAGTCATAGATGTTCACTGGTTTTACAGTGCAACCACTACCCACAGATAAATGGGCAAGTGTAGATTTTTTTTAAATTCACATATTACTTGTTTCTAGACTTTTTCTGGCTAAAACAGTAAAAATGATATAGTGCGCATCAAGGGGTTAAAGAAACAAAATTTCAGCATTACAATTTAAAAAAATTTTCAAACTAAAACTACTAAATAAATAAATAAATGAAAAGGCTGTTTATTTTAAATAAAACAGCAAAGTAATCTCTACAAATCTAGTCTATGAGCTCTTTCTCCCCCTCTAACAATACTGATAGCAGCTAGTCTTCTAACTTCTTTCAATATTTTCTAAAACTGCTCCAAGCCAGTTCCAAAGGCATAAATAATTTCAAAGGCTGAAGAAACTTTGACTGCTCGGATAAATATCAAGATGAATGAAGCTATTTATTTACATACATATTTGCGAACCTATGACACTCAAAAATCAGGAGATTTTTTTAAGAAATCAGGAGATTTTTCACAATATTAAAAAGACTTTTTAAATGATAAAAATACAGTTTTTAATAATGAATTAACTTTAAGTAATTACTAATTCTTAAATGTCAGCAACACAAAAATACCTTATACGTAAAAATTTTTTTTATTACTTGCATCATTTAAGAAAACAAAAACACACACACAAAAAAAAAGGGGGGGACACTTTAATCAGTTTTCGTACAAATGTTATGAACAGTGGCAGATTTTGTTTTCGTTAAGAAAGAAACTTCATACTGTCAAGATGGCCAACATAATTCTAGACAGTTCACTATATTTTAAAATTCCATCAGCATCTTTCAGTTTTCCAATTAAACTCCACTGGGTGTCAATCCAAGCTGATTTTATAACTTCATCCAAGTTTTCTAATTGTAAACAGCAAAATCGCGACTGCAGTATATCAGTGGCAATATCAATATCATCATCTTTCATGACTAAATGAAGTAACACAGGAAATCTGTTCAAAAAGTATCTTATATCAGAAAAAGATGTACAGTACAAAGTCTTTAACCCGAACTCGTTGGGACTTCAGCGATTCCGAATTAGGGGTTTTTCCAGATAATAGATCATCAATTTAAATCTGGTAAGATGGCATGCAGAAATTATAAAATTAAAAATATGAAACCATAATTTATGAAATAAAGAGCAATTATGATTTAAAAGGTATCAAAATTAAACAAAAAAAAATGTTAATATTTATTTGCTTACTTTATTAAACATTTCTTTCAATCTAAGTTGTTTAAGTTGCTTCGTTTTATGTGCTAATACTTTCTCTTTAATTCTATAAATAGACATAATTTCTCTTTCAGTTACAAAGTTCCGCTGTTCAAGTCCTGTAATTGCTGTGCCGAGAATACCGACTAACTTGTCAATCGAATTTTTTTTGTTTTCACTAACCTCTCTGTCACTTTCTTCATGCCTTTATCCATTTTTTGCAGCCATCCCACTTTTTTTTTTTTTTTTTTTTGGATGGACATCGAAACATGCTTTCGCTTTGTAGATTCCTTGGCAGCTCCAGAACTGGAAACTCCTTTTGACATAATCGAAAGTTCAAGCTTACTTTTTATAAAATTTCTCTAACAGTCTGCTAAAATATAATAAGCCGGATCCAATTAGAAGATTAAGGAACAACACAATCTGCAACATTAACTGAAACAGATAATTAGCCTAGCTTATACCATCTGTTACACATTAAACGCGCATGCGTAAACGATACACATGCAGAGAAAGTTTGTAGCTTTGAGGTCCGGATTATAGATCATTCTGGATTATGGACGTCCGGATTAAAGACTTTGTACTGTATTTGCTAGAGCAGGAACATGAGCAACTTTAGCATGCAAAATCACTTCATCGTTGACTGGAAATTTATGCAGTATATGATAACATACTCGACAGAAGTAACTTCTAACATGAAGATAAAACTATTTTTGTCTTCTTTTGAAAGTTCTTCCACTACTTTTGTAGTTGCAGCTCCTATTACCAAATCTTCATCTTTCTTCTGATTTTCTATTTCACCATAAATCACATCATATATAGAATTATAAGACAAAACACAGGCTGGTTTTACAAAATTTGATAAAATGTCTTTAAACAGATCATAAATCACTGATTGCAAAACATGAATTAATGGAATTCTGCTTTGTAGAACTGTGTTAAGAACATTGAATAATGGCAAAATGAATTGTAAAAAAAGCAAAAAGCTTTGTTAAGATCTGAAGAAAAAAACATAAATATTCATTCTTTACAAGATAAACTTACAGTAATCGGAAAATGTTTCGTGTGTTGAGCAATTTTTTATTTTGAGAGAAATTTGTACCAGTTTTACGCTTATATTTTGCATTTTATTTTGAGAACTGCCAGTTGACTTGCTGAATGGTGCAGAAATTACTTTATTTTTCTCAAACCTATTTTTAACAATGGAAGTAGTAACTACATCTCCATTTACTTTAGGTATTTTATAACTTTCAATAGAGCCTTTTATCTTAACTCTTGAAGCATTTACTTCTTCTTGAAAAATTGCAAGAAGTGGCTTCCATTGATCGAGGATTCTAGATAAGCATTTCCTTAAAGACAGCCAGCATGTACACACGTTTCAAAATTTTTCTCATTTCAGTTTTATGCAACTGTTGGAACTGTTTCAATTTTCCCTTCCTTTTGGAACTCCTTTCAAGACAATAATAAATATCACCAATGTGTTCATCCACATTTATTGGTAAAGAAGCTGCATCTTTTTTAGCTGCTAAATTTAAGAGGTGACAGGTGCACCTCATAATCTGCAAATCTGAATTATTCTTTCTTAAGATGCTGCAACACCAGTCTTCAAACCTACCATTACTTACCATTACTGCGAAAATTGGCATCAAAGAACCAGCTGCCCGAATGACACTCATCCGATACATAATTCGCCAACAAAGTGATCGCTTCCAACGTTGCCGCAAAACTCACTTTCTTGGGGGATTGCTGTATGACATTCCCTGACTTTTCCAGATTTTGACTAAAATATTTAAATTTCTTGACTTTTTTTGTCAATTTTCGAATTCCCTGACTTTTTCTGGTTTTCCCGGTAGCGTGGCAACTCTGATAAGTTCTAAAATTATTTTTTAAAATATAAGTCCCATAAATTACATTCTGGTCTTCATATTCAGATACCAATTTAGTCCTAGAAGCAATATTAAGCTACACAGTCACAGCCAGATTTAGACTTGATAAGGCCCTAAGCTATTTGAGATATGGTGCCCTTTATAAATCTGTTATATTTTAATACTATTTATATTATATTTTAATTTGGGGGGGGGGCAAGAAAGTAGGGACACTAAGCTATAGCTTGTGTTGCCTTATACGTAAATCCGGCTCTGTACACAGTTCAGATACGCCTATTTATTTACACCATTCAATTTATGATATTAGATTCAATGTACTGTTGTACTTTGAAAGATAGCTTAAAAATCTTATATTCTGTGACTGAACCTTTAAACTGCAGTCTGTCAAGAGAGATCAGGCTACTCTACATACCTACAGCATAATCTAATGAGCAAAATATGAAAGAAAAAAAAAAAAACTCTACTAGATATTTGTAACATCAAAACTATTACTCATCAAAAAGTATCGTACATAAAAAATTACATGGTAAGTCAAAAAGAATGATCCTGTTACACATGGGTTACAATAAACCAATGTAATTAGCACATATTTACCTCTGTTATCCAAATTTCTTGGCATACATTATAAATGTTCTGTATGAAATCCTAAGTTTCGTATCACACATTACACATGCTCAATTTAAGATTGTTTTGTCATATGATACAAACAACAATGCCTTTCTCAGTTCACATTTTAATAGAATTTTACCGAGGATGGATGCTTCACAGTGCAATTACCTTTAGGACATCAGACTGATGCATCAAGGATAGCTGAACCACCTACTGAGTCTTCTATACCAAAGAGACCTATAATGATAAGATTCTGGAGATAAGTAAAAGTTCCTCATCAGCTGGACCTCTGGACATCCAAGATGTTGCAATTTTAGAAAACTGCAAGGTGGGAGGATGTTTAGAAACATGAACAAACACAATACTTATAATTTAATTCAGCATGTTTATTATAATACAATCAATCCTAAATTTGGGTTTACCTTCAGAAATTTCTCCACTGAATTACACATATTGCTGTTGCTTCAAATGGCTACATGCTAACAACTTGATGCATTTTTCAGGAATGGCTAACAGCCATCAATCATTTAGCCATCTCATTATCAAGAATGTTGCCCAGAGTGCACCACAGGAGATAACTGAATTACAGCCAGAAGAAGGGAGAAGTTTCATCACAATTATCATGGAGAACAAACACATGAGGGGCAGACAGGATAGACTTACAAATATCTAAGCCTTCTCAGGTATTCAAAAGCAGGCCCAAAGATATGGCAACCAGCATTGCTAACCATTATACTGATCACATATACAACACATACTGAATCAAGTATACAACACACCATCCAGTTGGTTGAACTGGGACTTTTTTTAAAATATTTACTGAGTAGTGATGTTTTTCAGACTCAGATAAGAAATTTTGTAGATTTTTTCCCTGCTTTTTCTATTATAAATAACAGAAGATTTAATATCACATTCTTCCATTATATTCCTGTTTTCATGTTTTAGAAATAGATTAATATATCCAGTTTTTGCTGAATTGTTAAAGTTATTTATTTCCATTTTATCCCTTTCCAACACTATCAAATGTCAAAAAAAAAAATTTAATTAATTAAAATGAAGAAAGCAAAAAATATATAAATGTGAGAATTTAAACAAAGGCCTGACTCAAAATGGCAAGCAACTGTCAAGCTTTATTGAACTAAATGCTAGTAATGCCATCCTGCCATCTTATGGCAGAAATATCAATGAAAACGTGCCGGATTATTGGAGAACTTGAACCATTCAATGCAGAATTATTGGACTTTATTTATCGCACGTTTCCTTTATTTATGGCACGTTTCCTTTTTTAAATGCATTGTTTTTGTGCTACCACTTACATTTAGTTAGAGTGAACTCAAAATGTGGATCATTCATATCACATCAATTGCATTTGGCATGCTTCATGTGTATACTGAAATTACTAGACTGCATGTGTTGCATGATAAAAGGATTATAAATACAGTATCCAAAATGCATGATGTGAAACTCAGATGGCAAAGTTTAATTTGATGTAACATAGGTAAATACATGCCAATTAAATTGCTTGTTAGTGCATTTGCAGCAGGCTGCTTCTTTCTGCCTTACTCTGTATTATAAATAAATTTAAATACTAATTTAACAACAGAACACATACATTAGCTGTGTTTACATTGAATACTTTGACTGTGCCATTCACGGTCCCAATGAGTATCCTGGGATGTCTTTTATTGTAGTTGTAATTCTAGAATTTGGAGAACAAAGATATATTAGAAATAAATGTACAATTAAAGCAGATCACAGTAAAAAAAAAAAAAAAAAAACTTTTAAATAAACTAGGCTAATATAAAAACCACATATAAATGTTTCTTACAAAAACAAACAAAAAAAAACTTAATCTGCAAATGTCACTATTTCCAAAAGAGAAAATCCAACATTTAGAAATGTGTCTACTAGATTCAAAATTTATGTTTAATTCAACAAGCAATAAACTGTGGACTGAATATATAGCACAGATGCAATAACAGTAAATATTGTTACCTTTTTATGCTGTCAAACCAGAAGGAAGCAGACAAAATTTCTGGTTACGAAACTATTTGTAAACTGCACTAAGATTACACCTGCCAACTTTGTAAGAATGAAAAAAATTGGATGATTATTTAAAAAACAATAATAATAAGGCATGAACAGTAAAGTCTAAGATCCAAAAATGTTGGCATTTCAATAATTGCTGGATTTAAGACCATTGGCTTAAATCTAGTAAGATGGCATGTACACACGGCAACGTTGGAGCTTCATTTGGCTATTGTTTAGGTCAGATAAAAAAATGCTACCCACTCCCAAATCTTCCACAGTCTGAAAGTGTAATCCTGGCCAACACCAATACAATGTCAACGAAATATTGTCACTGGCCATGGTACTACCCCTTAGCTGGTAGGTGTTCAAAAGTGTCATGCAGAAACATTAGTTAGAGGGAAAATTGCATTTATGGCACGTTTCCTTTTATTGAGTATTATGTTAACCATTCCTAGACTCTGTAAGCTGGAGGGAGATTTTATTTTATTTATTTATTTTTTGATTGGTGGTTCAGATATTGTACATCTGGATTTCAGACTTTGTACCACAGTTAGTTTTACAGAAATGGATGTGAGTGGTGTGAATTTTAGAGATGAACAGCAGACAATGATGAATGAAACTCTTTTGCTAATTCTTCAGCAGTTGCATATGGATTTCTTTTTTCACAACATCTGCTACACTATTCCCTTTTTTTAACTCATAAAAGCATGACATGTTTAATGTGCTTTCTATCACCCCATTTTTCTTAAGGGAATATGAAAGCAACAAACTGTTATCTATATGATTGAAAGCCAGAATTTATCTGAATGAAGTTGTCTTTGCTCATTATACATCCATGAAAATCACTCATTTTAACAAGTCCTGCCTGAAAAATCACAGTTACAGGATGACTCAATATACAGTATTTGAAAAATTTCATCTAAAAATTATGAATGTTAGTCAAGGAAAAGTAGTTCAGCAGTAAATTTAAGTTGTTTTTTAAACTGACAAGGGAAAAGAATGGGGACCTATTTAAAAAAACCAAGCAATTTGCACAAAATACAGCATAAACTTAGGACATCATGGATTCTTTTCCTCAATATTCCCAGTTTGGGTTGAATAATTTTGCTTATAAAGCATGCAAGGCCCATTTCCCTAAACAGGTGATGCCTTTGTTGTGTACTTTTAAAGGGACACTATCTGCATTCTGGTCAGATATGAGGCAAGTGTCAAATATCTCAAGGCAGCCAATTCTTTCATCTAGATTTGAACCCAATTCAAACCACTTATGTTCATCAGTTTTATAGCTTAATGACCAAATTTAATGTGCCATATATACACAAATTTACAGATATTTTATTAATTCTGATAAAACATTTAAATTTTTTGAAGCCAGGCAATAATTACAAATATACAGTTTTGAGCAATTGTAAAACAGACAGCAATAATTTATAATGTGTACAAACTGAGAAATTCTTTAATTACAACAAACAAGCCAGAATATAAACAAACAATATTTTTACCATAAAGTACATACCATATACATTACAGCACTTTTACGTTTTTAGGTGCAAAACATGCTATCAGCTTACATATATCGCTTTTTCATTTCATGCTCTTTTCATGCATAATTGTTGTTAATTAGATACATTAAGAACACATAAAACATAACTACTCAATTTTGAACATGGGAGAAAAAATTATATTTTGTTGGTTACATGTATACACACAAAGGACAATCAAACAATTACACCTTAAAAATATTAATCTGAAAATTCTTAAATCAGCTCAAGAATAAAACACTTACTAAAAATGAAGATGTACAAAAATCAAAATTCCCTTCCACATCTCTAAAGGTACGTACTAATCTGAACCTGGAAATACGATTATTTTTACATTAATATGCCATAAGCACAGAACATATTTAATAAATTATCTGAAATATTGCTTAAGTACAATTCAAAATATACAAATTATAAGAAATATATATTAAATATTCAAAACACATACTTTATCTAAAATGCACAGGGTACGTCAAAAAGAATTGTTCCGCTACAAATGATTACGGCAAGCAATTTAACTGGCACATATCGCCGAGTACTTCAAATTAAAAATAATTTATTGAAATTTATTGTCACATATTATATATACTCTATGTGAAATCCTTCTGTTCTGTAATACACATCCAGGTTGTAGTCCAATTCAATACACATGTTAAGAAATTTTCTTCTTCCTTACAATGAGCTTTTATTGTGAAATTAGGAGCAGGTCTTGTTAGCAAAGGTCCAGAGTTCACATCCTGGTAAAGACAACTGCTGATTTTCCATGTTTCCTCCTTTAACAAAAAAACTTAATGATACTACAAGTTTCACCTGAATTTACAAATGTTGCAGAAGATGATTCGTCACAACCAGGATTTGGCAACCATGCCCCCTATTCCCCAGTCTCCCTTTAAAGAATATCAGAAATCTTCTCTTTCCTTACTGTGTGTCTTTGTATTGTAATTGAAAATACATACAGCTTGCAATTTGAAGGTCTGAAATTCAAAACCCTGCAAGAGCAACATTCTTCACATTTCACACTTTAAAAAAATTATAAATTACTACTCAAACCAAATGTGACAGACATTAATTAATTGTCATCAGGATTTGGCAATTTGCTCCCTTCTTCTCCAGTTGCTTCTTCTCCAGTGGAGGGATTTTCTTCTTTACTGGAGTAACTAGAAAACATATGGCAGGCAATCATGAAATCTAGAGCAATAACTAACTTTTCATATTTCTGCTCTAAAATAAAGACAATGATCCTATGTTCAGACACTGAAGTACACCCAGTATGACTTAAGCACTGGCTTGAATAATACAGACTCGTAGTTTATGAATCAACATCATCATCAAGATTGGATGTCACTGGTGACACAGGAACACTACCTTTAACATATCCTATCCAAACACACACAAAGTGCAAAGAGAAAGCATTTAACAAATTTGAGAGCTAGGAGATAAATATATAATCATTTGCTTTGTTAGACCAAATACGTGTCATGCACCAAAACAATCTCAAGTGGAGCACTTGTAAAGGAACAAACAGAGATATCAAGCACAGCTGACACTGTTCTAGGAGTTGATAAAACTAGTTTTTCTTCAGTTGAAAAATATGAAGCTCATGTAAAATGGTGTTAGTCACCACATGGAACCAATTCCTTTAGCTCAGATGTGAACAACTAAGAACCCAGTGTGAATGCCCCTTAATGTACGACAGATAACTTCAATAATCAAAGTTTAATGCATCATCATCAACTATGAGTCAATTACATTGACTGTTATAACAGGATCACAGCAACTAACTTGGCAATAAATATGAAAAACCTAGAGGCTTTTTTCCCACTTCAATATTACATTATTTCAAAACAATTATAAGGAATTTAATGTTAATTAGCCAGTTATTCACAATTCCAGCCTTTACTATAACTTCTGTATTCCTTACCAGAATGCAAATCAAAAGCCAATATTTAAACTGAGGTTGACAGAGCATGTTTGTGGCTTTGGGTACAAACTATGTGTTACTTTCCTGCCAGCTCTGATAGGTGTAATTATTCGGCTTTGCATTCTCTTGTTGCTGACATTTTGATTTTGATGCTTTGGTAGAATCCTAAGTCAGTTCCTAGTAATATTTAATTGTGGAGTCCTTCACTAGTATTCAATATTTAACTTAAATTTGACTGTTCTGTTTAGATGCATAATCACAAGCTGATATTGTTGCACAAGAGAGTGCCTTTGTCTTCAAAATTATGTCATAACAAAAAGGTTATACAAACCTTCTCATGACTTTCTTGTTGCTTCAGACATAGCAATAATTAACTTCATGTGTGTTAGAAATTTGGGATTAACTAATATTAACAGATCAAATAAAACCTTACCGAATTAAGAACTGCCTTAAATTCACTTTATACTGCATGATTCAAGTTAATAAACTATTTATAATGCATTTCCAATGAAAAATACATTAATATCTAAGCTATTAATATAATAAGATATTCCAAATTTTATGTCCATAGATTAATTTGCATTTGTAGTTTGCTTAATCTTTTTCAGACACAGAAGATCCTGAGCACAGAAAGAAAGGTTTTATTTATCAAAGTAATTTTAAAATAGAATGAATATAAAACTAATAATTAATCTGCATACTATTGTGTGAACTAACATAGCAATGTATCATGTATTGATGTAAAACAAAATTTAATTAAATTGTTTGAATGATTAAACATTGGTTGAATCTTCATAAAATGTTCTGCAAATGCCTATGGTAGATTAAGATAATTTGTATTAAATAAAGATTTACTAAGAAACGTCATGCTAAAAATCACTGGGGCACGGAAATGGAATTTTCATAATTTAAGTTTCATTATAACAATAAATCTCATTTATTGCTGGGAAATGTTTTCCTTAAAGGTTTAAATTTAAAAACTGGGAGATGCTGTAGTCATATTGCAGTCTGTTCATATTGTGCTGGGGAATGGCATTCCATATGGCTTCAACTTGAAGTTCAGTTTTGGTGTGTGCCCTAACAGTTGTAAGAGCGAGTCGCCGACTGATGAAATTCCAGACATGCTTAATGGACGACATATCCATGGGGGGGGAGGGATAGGCAATCCATTGAAAAAGTGAAACCTGTTGTAAGAGCGAGTCGCCGACTGATGAAATTCCAGACATGCTTAATGGGCGACATATCCATGGGAGGGGGAGGGCTAGGCAGTCCATTGAAGAAGTGAAACCTGCTGTGCCCTAAAGAAAGCTTGTGCAGTCTGAGGAACATGTGCATGGGTATTATCCTGCTAAAATATAGCATATGGAATAAGCCAAAGAATGAGGAAGACCTCTGGTTCCACAACTTCCTTTACATAGTGATCGCTGTTGAGGTTTCCTACACTCTGCATTAAATGGGATCAACAATTATACTCAATACCTCCCCACTCCATGATGGTCTTTCTGCAATATGACACTGGATAACACACAGTAGAAGCAGACATTCCCCTCTGTAATGTCTGACACATACTTTTCCATCACTGTACTCTAGATTGTTGCAAGATTCATTGGAGAAAACAACTTGCTGCCACGAAGCAGGTCGTTTCGACGCTGGGGCAGTTTGACGCCATACGTTTCGACGCAGGGGCAGTTTGACGGCATATTTTTTTCCGTATTTTTATTTATTTTTAGAATAAATATGAAGTAATATAAATAAGTAATATGACTGATTTTTATTTACTGAATTAGCAATTATTTGCATGTATATTTGAAATAAATATATATGTGAAAGTGTTCTAGATTTTTGTTTGTGTCCCAGATTAGTGAGAAGCCCCCTCGCCAACGTCAAGGCCCCGGGACATGAGGGAGGGTTTTTTTTAAATTTATTTATTTCACAAAACAGCATCAAAAAGGCAAAATGCATAAAATGGTAAATAAACCATATGTTTACAAAGTAGTTATATTATATTGCAGACAAATATAATTACGGATAAACATATATATTATTATTATAATTACACATAATAAGACAAATATAATTACACATAAATAAGATTAGAGATAAATAAGATTATATCACAGATCTGTTATTATAATAATCCGTTGCAAAATTATGTGCCACACCTTTCAGGTATTCCATTATTTCACGATTTTCAAAATCTTCAACTATTACTTTAATTCTCCTATCAGCTCGCAGATACCTATTCCGCTTGTGTGGCGGTTCATCTCCATGTACAAATTGTTCATAACGTTGATCAATTGATTTTTGAACACGCCTGTGACCATCTATGAATTCCCACAATGTGGGGTATGAAACACTAAATGATGATGACACCAAATTTAGTTGAATGATGATGCAAACCTATTCTAAAAATAAATAAAAATACGAAAAGTATGGCGTCAAAGAAAAGCAAAAAAAGTCTGGCGTCGAAGTGACCTCGTGTCGAATTGACCAGGCATCGAAACGCTGGCATCGAACCGTTGGTGTCGAACTGACCTGTACTGTGCTGCCACAGGGCACTCCACATGAAGTGTCGCTGTGCCAACTACAGTTGAAGATGTCTGTGATTAGGCGACAGGAATCCTGTGCAAAGGAACCCTTGCACACAGTTTATGCTGCAGCATATGGTGACGAACGGTGGAGCTAGACAACACAACGCCCGTAGCCATGCTCTAACATTGTGCTAGCATAAGAAAGGATGCGCTACAATCCACCACAGCCATGCAGATGATGTGTTTGACATCTCGTGCTATACTGTGCCCCACTGCCAGGATTTTGCCTTGTTTGGTTCTCCTCTGTCCATTTCTTCCAAAGACATATCACTGTTGTGGCATTACACTGCATACGAGCTGTGATTGATCGATACAAAAGTCCACCCTCTCACATACTGCTGATACAGCCTTGTTCGAACTCCGCTAGTTGTTGGTATGGCATCTTCTGTTGTTAATGAGGCAAATTACCCACTACTTAAATGTTCACTGCATATAGACAATGATAAATAGATTTCAATGCAGTTTTACAGTGTTTTATATACATGGAATAAGCAGCCAGTTCTCATTCCATGCATGGTTCAGCGCTTTGTAATTCTAATCATTTGCATGTCTTACCTCACTTTACATTTCCTGTATGTTTGGATCAATTTGCATAATTCTTTCATAGTGTTGCAATTTTCACAAACATTAGGTTAACAATTTTTCTTTTCACACAGCTACTTGATTTATTACATATGGTATTATGACCAAACGGCCATAATATGGTCAAATGGTCATAATACCCAGCTGTTGATGAATATTCAGTATCTACAACCAATAATGGATATTCATTGCTAATATTTTACACCTCTTCTATACCACTAGTTGACTTTTGCAACAAGTGATAGAACAGTGTTTTAGCACCACCATTATACTATCTGTCTACGGTAAGAATACCTCCTGTCACGGTGTCAGGGCGGGTGGCGGTCGTTATAGCAACAGGGCTAGTATATTTCAAATAGGGACGAACCAAGGGTTGCTTTATTGTTATTTGTTTTTGGCGACTGTTGGCTAAAGGGAAAAGAGTTTATCATTCGTCTTCTCATTCATTCCAGCTGCACGCATCTTTTCTTAGAAAGGATGCCTTATATTATTACTATTAGATATTTTTATTCTCGTTGTTATATCTTTTGTACTGGTATTTGTTCAAATTTGCTTCTATTTAGCTTGATTTTTGTAGTGCTTTGTTAATCGCCAATTTTTTAAAATGCTCCTCCAGTTTAAGAAAGGTCAACCTTTAAAGTCTCAGGCACGTCAAATCGTGTAAAATGCCGCAGAATTCTGCGATTCTGAAGCTTCGGCGAACTCTTTAGTAGTTTCTCTTCCTCAAGTTTTGAAGAGAACATCACAAGCTACTGGAGTATCTGAGTATACAGTTAAAAAAATTAAGCGCAAAGTATCAACAATGGGTGAAGATAAACTTCTAAATACGCTTGGAAAGAAACGTAAAAGATCTGCTAATCATAATTGCAAAATTGACGATTTTGACAAATGCGTTATACGGCAGACAATACAAGACTTTTACATCAAAGAAAAGAAAGTGCCATCTGTGTGGAAATTACTGCCTGTCTTAAGGCAAAAAATAGACTTCCCGTGGCAAAAAGACTCTTTGTGCAAAGTTTTGCGTTCAATGAATTTTCGCTGGAAGAAATGCGTTAACAAAAGAAAAATTCTTACCGAAAGACCTCACATTGTATTTTGGAGGAACAGCTATTTACGCGAAATGACAAAACTCAGAGCAAGTGGACGCCACATCGTTTACATTGATGAAACATGGATTGACAGCAATTTAAATTTTAAGAAATGTTGGCAGCATAATACGGTTTTGGGCGCACAGATAAATGTCAGTTCAAAAAATAGACTGATTGTTGCCCATGCTGGCTCTTCTGCAGGATTTATTCCAGGTGCCCAACTTGTATATAAAGCATCAGCTCAAAGTGGGGATTACCATGGGCAAATGAACTATGGAAATTTTTAAAAATGGGTGTTGGAAAAGCTTCTTCCAAATTTATGACCCCAAAGTGTGGTATGCATGGATAATGCCCCTTATCACACAAAAATTGAAGATCCGACACCCACCAAATATGCTACCAAAACAAACAATGGTTAATTGGCTGATGAAGAAGACGATATGCGGCGATCCCAAAATGCAAAAAGCGGACCTGTTTAACTTAATAGAATGCAATTGTCCTAAAAAAGTAATCTATAAAACTGACATCATAAATGAAAATGGGCATCATGTTGTGCGCCTCCCTCCTTACCACTGTGATCTAAACACAATTGAATATCTTTGGTCATCAGTTAAAAGACTGATCAGGGAAAGGAATGTGACTGGGGACTTAAGCTTGGAAAATTTGAAAAATTTAACACAAAAAGCTTTGGATGAAGTCACTTCTCAAGAATGGCAGGCGCACTGCAACCATGTAGAAAAACTTGAAAATTCTTATTGGGACAAGGATGAACTTCTAGAAGAGATAGTGGATGAATTAATAATTCAAACTGGCAGCAGCGATTCTGATTCAGAAGAAACGGAATCTTGTGACAGTGATTCAGACGACTTTTCAGATGTTATACCTCTATAAAAGTCCTCAAAGAAAGGCATCCTTTTTCTTCATCTGATAGTTCTGTCAAGTTATGAGGATATTTCTAGGTTCAGTATCTTCTTTGCTACTATATAAATGAAAGATTACCAAAAGTGGGCAACAATGAGCCTTCGGCAGAGGCGAAACCCCCCTTGTGGATAATAAAGAATACTGAATGGTTGCTTCATTTCCCATTACTGTGTTCTTGGGAACCCACAAGCCATGGTATAATTTGCTTAAAAAATAATTTTTAATCTTTAATGGAAATTAAATAAGTTTTGTTTTATTATGAAAATATTAATACAATATTATGTTAATGCAACAATGCTCACTGCAGTTATAAAAGCCAAATTTTGTATAATTATATAAATTTCGTATAATTTTAAATATAAAATACGTAACTGAATAATTTAAGAGACCTTAATTTTGTTCTGATTTTAACATTTTATTATGCTACTAGCTATTAGTGTCTATAAAAAACAGCATAATGCATAAATGGGCGCTGGTAATTAAGAGGCCCAGTAGCGGCCGATCAGTAAAGTCACTGAACACTTGTCCGAAGTTTGAATCCCGTGAACGGGCTGGCTGCATGGGCGTTTTCCATGTGTAACGTGTATACGAGCCAGTTTTCCTTAGCAAGACCTCCACGAAGGCATCCCTCCTCTTAGGAATTTTACTCTGGAGGCTTTTCGTAATCATATAAACCAACCCAAACCACTGATAATTAAGGGAAAAGCAGTTTTGATTTTAATTTACCTTTGCTTCCTTTCGCCATTAAATTGACCAGCTTTTGGTTTAGTTTGAAGGTATGGGAAAAGAAGAAATGTTTGCAAAAAGTTTTTATTGAGAGCATGGGTATGTAAATAAACGCTTTTATTTTCAGATGATTCCAGATACATTTAAATATGAATTTTTAGTCATTCTTAAAGCCCAAGCAATAAAATTAATAGAATATTTTGAAATAAAAACATAGCAGAAAGGCATTTAAAGACTGAAGAAATTGCTTTGAATGTTCACAGTAGATTAGCTAGAGGGGAGAAATATAAAAATTTAATTTATTTTACATTTATGAAGTGCGTCTATACTATATTACAGAAAATGGGGCAATCAAGTAGATTTCTAAGATGTTATCTAGGATTTTGCAAGCAAACAAATAAACAAAAAAGAAGCAAAATAATAGCATGATTTTTTTTTAATGTAAAAATTAAAATGGTTCTTCAAAAATAAGCACGGATTTTTAAATGTATTTCCCTACAAGTTATTTTGATATATTTTTACTCATTGTACATCTAGTAGAAGGATGGCAAATTCAGCGACTTGTACCTCACACGGCAAAATCAAAGACCGTTTCTTAACTGCAAAAACTTTATCTACGCCATCGAATTTTCATTTTCGGAAATTGAATGTCGGGGGTCAACGCAAAGGGTCAATGAGTATTTTACTTGAAACTAAAACAAAATGTGAATATCGCCAAATCATCTTTAATTGTGCCAAGGTAGCAAACTGAGAAGTAAATCTTCAAGACACCCCTACGAAAAATGGGTCAGGGCTTGTTTTTACGGCAACAGACAGCCGCAGACAAACTGGCGAGAGCTGTTCTTACAATAGACAGACAGTATTCACATAATATAAGTAAAATAGTAACTAACATACTGACCTGCTGTAAATATGCTTTCTGTTCAAAGCTGCACCTCCTATGCCTCCATTTGCAGTAGCCATCTACATAAGAGAAAAGATTTTTATGATTATTAAATTCTTACTATTAGCTCACACTCTCCCTATATCTTATTCAAATTTCCAATCATTAATAAAATACTTTTTATTCATCCATTCAAGTTCAAATACATTTTTAAAACTTGTAGTGGATGACACTTGATGTTAATACAGCTTTTTCATATATTAATTTTTTTTTTAAATTTTTCAGGTGATTTTTATCATAATGATTCACTGTCTGCAGGTTGGCAGTGTTGGCAAATGTTAACTAAAACAGCCTCCAGAACATACTTTGTCAATCTTTTGCATGTTATTGTGAGTATATTTGAAATATTGATGCAAACTGAAAGCTTCAGAATTTCAAACATGCTGTAACATCAAGTATTGATAATGTTAATAAAAAATAAATTTAAATAAGATTTGTCTTTGTTGACCTAAGTAGGAAATTATATTACTTATTTTCTGAATAATAATTTATGCACAATAAAACGATCACATATCACATACTTGAGAAGTTTTAATTTCCTATTTATTGATAGATTTCTAATCAGAAATACAGGTTGATTCTCCAGGTAAAAAATTTATTAGCTTCCCATTTCCTACCATGGATTTGACAAAATATCAAACGAAAGTCAGAGACCGCAAATAAGTTATCTGTTAGTTTAGCCTTTAAGAGAGTCTCAAGCAAATTTCAAACCAAACTGAATGCAAATCCTTTTAAAAGAATCATTCAATATCTTTTTTTAAATTTTTTAAAATTTAATTTAAATATTCAAATTTTCTTTAAAGAGGGAAAAAAGAGTATCACAGTTAAATTAATATTTTGATTTGTACAGTACTTTGAATAGTATTTTCCAAAATATAATCTCTTTGTTCAAATTTAGTATAAACAATATGCATGTATATTATGTTCATGTATTATTATTACTGTATTTTAATGTCATGAGAACTGAATTTACATACTTAAGAATTTTAAAATTTTTTTAAACTATTTTTCCTCTATTGAATTTTTTATGGTTCTCACTGAATTTAATTTTTAGTTTCCCTGATATTCCACCCTCAAATGAAACAATTTTCCTGACCAAAAATAAGAAATATATGAATAGTTAAATTAACTTTATACACTTACTGCAAAATAAAATGTGAATACAAATGTAGCAAAATCTAAGAAAAGACTAACAGATCTACAGCATCCAAAAAAATATACAAGTCACTAAACAACAGTAAAAGATTTATTTTCTTCAAATCTTGTCTTGTTTAATGAATTCAGTCCTAAAATTTTAAGGAAGCACTGCATATAACATACTACAATCTATCAAACTTATCTTTCCCATTTCTTCCTCATACAAGCTAAAAAACTTCTGTTTTACTAATAAAATGGCGGTTAAATATAATAACAGTTTTATTTTTTAAGTGTCATAATGGTTGAGATATTTATATATTACTGTAGTAGAAGAAACTAAATTTTTATATTGTACCAAACTATCATAAACATGTACAGCAGCTTTATTATGCAACATCACAATTTTTCTATGTGTTCCTTTCATTTCATTTCGAGTTAAAAAAAATTTCTACAGTATTTTTTGGTTTTCATATCAACTTTAAATATGCACTTGATTAATTTGCTTGCAATGGAAAAAAAATAACTAAACATTCTGCAGGAATACAGTATTTTGCCATAAAATTCTAAAGGGAGCAATTACTTCGAATCTATTCTTACAGCAATCACCATAAAATTTTCCTGAAATAAACCCCCCATTAAAACACAAAATATAAATAAATGCACAAAAATCCCCCCCTTTTTTTTAAATTCAAAGACATAATTCTTTTCTTATGTAAAAAATCCCTAAATTGTAGCAAGGTGGTTGCAGTGCGCATTGAGACCAAACTATATTAAATAAAATGTTCAAAGAGTACCTCTCTTTTGTGCAGCCTTAAAACATAATTTACAGGAGCATTCTGTCTGTAATGGGGTTCTGGACATTTATGAGGTCTGCAAAGCAAAATAAATAAATAAATAAATAGATAAATAAAATAATCTGAAATTGTTAAAAGAACTTTCACCCAAACATGTATTTTTAACAATGATAGAAAACTTACACATATAAGTTAAATGGGGGACATGTAATCATAGGGTTTTTACAAAGTGCATGCTGCTTGCGTAGATACTCCGTCACAATGGAGTGCAGACTGATTGAGGACTGGGAACCTCCACCAAAAGATGGAGTAATGGCTTCCTGATGCCTCAAGGCAGGTGACTGTACATAATTTCCTGAGCAAGTCTGAGGCTTCTGCAGTCTGCCTGAAAGTGACTTTATTTCTGTGTACTGCAAAAATAATCAAAATCAAAATTACAAGATTAACAACTTAAAAATACTGATATCTATTCGTCAAACTTAGGCCAAAATTTTAGCACCTGAAATAGTTATGATAGCTCTAATGGTTTAAGAAAAAATTACCTTTAGCTCATAGGTCTCATTTTGTTCATAAATAATAATAAAAAGAAATATTTTACATGAAACAATACATTTTATGAGGAAAAAAACAAAAATCTATGCAACTGAAATTGACAATTTTATATTAGAAATGACAAAATGATGGTTAAATATAAAATGTGTATACTTTCACTCAAAATTTGTGTGCAGGTAGGTTATTTATTCTATGTGTATTCCAAAACACATAAAAACCCACATGAATTCTACCAAATATTAAAACCTGGAATACAAATAATCAGAAAATACCAAAGACTAAATATATGATTTAGATATATGATACAATTCCATTACAAATTAATGCTAATTAATGGAGATTTGCACACATGCACTTTTTTACTGCACACATAATTTAAAACAAATATTTCCCACAATTGAAATGGCAGCAATTTCACCGTGATGACATGAAATTCATGTAATAAGAAAAAACATTAGATTTCATGTTTTTATTTCCTCTCTCTTTTTTGCCCCACTTTGGTGGTTAAGTATCTTGCTTTGCAGAAAATAAAAACATTCTACAAACATGAAAAATATTTTTTCCTAGATACTGTAACAATTTCTTTCTGAATCAAGCATATCTCGCACATTGGCTCTGATTTAATTTTATGATCTCTGTTGAAGATGTATAAAACGAATTACAAACTTTGCCCTCATAAACTTCATCAATCAAAAAATTAACTCTTAATGCTGTTAATACAAAATACCTGTGGCGTCTTATTTATGACTTTGAGCCTTCTGTTAATTCGGAGAGGCACTGAAGGTGGTGGAATAGACATTGCAGAACTAGAATTTGAAGACTGTGTTAAAGCACTGTTATTGAACTTTGGAAATTTCTCTTTGCCTGCATTCCAAACAGACCACAAAGCTGGACGAGTCTGAAAAATACAAATTTTCAGCATTAATATCATTGAGAATTAGTCTATACCTAGCATACATGTAATTGTGCCAATAATACGCTATAAACACAAATGCTCTATATTTATTTGAGTGTTAAGATATATTCGCACATAATTAAATGATAAAGTGGTTCTGAGTTCAGATTAGATGAAGCGTTATATTTTCTGGTATTTCACAAATGAGGATTAAATTTAGATCTAATATTAGTGATGACAAATCAGAAAAACTTTTATTAGCGAAAGCAGGCCTACGTGGCAATTGCCGTGAACAAAATTAGGAAGTTTCTTTCTTAAAGAAAGCAAAATCTGCTACTGTTTATAACATTTGTACGAAAACTGATTAAAGTGTCTTTTTTCCCCCCTTAAACGATGCAAGTAATAAAAATGTTTTTTTATGTGTAAGGTATTTTTGTGTTGCTTGCATTTAAGAATTAGTTATTATTTAAAGTTAATTCATTATTAAAAACTATATTTTTATCATTTAAAAAGTCTTTTTAACATTGTGAAAAATCTCCTGATTTTTGAGTGTCATAGGTTGGCAAGTATGTACATGTTCCCAACAAGACACAAGCTTATAAATGCTTTTTTCGAAAAAATCCTTTTTTCTGGGATCCAAAAAGTTGTGAAACTCAATTTGTGACATCTTCGTTTTCGGAACTGCTGTTCTTCCAGGTGGTTATCCATGGCTGAAAAATAGTACTAGACCAATGAGTTATATTCAAGGAAATGGGTGGCTGAAGCAGAACTTTCCCATTGTTTTGATCACCTCTTTGGTCGCTTTTGGAGTATAAGATTTGGCATTTAATGTGCAGGAGTTGTGAAGTGCAGGTGAAACTCTTTGCAATTGTGACGAATAGACCTTGGATAATATGGTTCTTTCACTTTCTAGCTATTCGTAGTGGACTATGCAGCGCTGGTCCACCAAACACTTAGCAATATCTTCTTTTGGTGATTGTCCAGTTTAGTGGCCAGTGAGACTGAACCAGAAGTTGAGTAAAGATGTTCCTTTTCTGGTTATCATACACAATCCATTTTTTTATCACATATCAAGATTTGGTCCAGGAATGAGGCTTTATTATGTTGCGACAGCAACAAAAAGCAAATTTTCAACTGTTGGAGTTTGTTTTTCTCAGACAAAATATGAGGATACCACTTGCTTAGCTTCCATGTCATCCCAAGGTTATGAAGATATGAACAAATGATTTTGTCAGATACTCCAAATCTGTGTGCAAGCTCCTGGCAGGTTTGACAAGGATTCTGTTTGATTTCCTCCTCCAGCTGGCCTTTGTCGAGGGTAGATGGACAACCAACACAAGGCTCATTTTCAAGACTTCCATCTCTAGAAGAAAACTGGCTGAACTACTTTTGAGCAGGCCACCCAGACAGTATAGTAGTAGTAGTTAGGGGAGCCGACTTGCAATACCAAAGGAGCCAGGTTCGAAGTGCAGAGAAGGCATAGCTGCAATTGTGCGTCCCTTCATAGGAGGCAAAGGTGGCTCCCCTATTAGGTGCCTCAATAAAGTGACTACTAATTTTGGCCTTAGTATAATGGCCAAGCCGAAGTCGAATGAGGGCCCGCCATTAGTAGAAAAATCCTTTTGAGCAGTCCGTTCACTCACTGATGTCTCTCCAAATGTGAAACATATTCTTTTAGCAGCCTCTGCAGCTTTGCTTCCTAATTTATATTTATAAAACAAAATAGACCTCAAAATTTCCTTTCCAACGACTTTTTTTTTTTTTTTTTTTTTTTTTTTTTTTTTTCCCAAAGACTGCAGCTCTCACAAAACCAACAGAGAAACATGAGGTGCACAAAAGAACTCTCTTCTGAATAAGGTTTGAAAGGAATGTAAACCTACGATGTCATCAGAATCCATTTGACCCCACTAATGTGCCAAAGTAACTGTTCTCAAAAACTGCATGGACCTTCTTGGTTACCAGATATTTTCTGTCTCCATTACCTTCCATGCAACCATGGCATGCTACACTTTATATCTGTAACCTCTGTTCATAAAAAAACCTATATTTCTTGAATATGTATTTCAAGTTGTAAGCAGAGTATGTATTCTTATCTTTATATTAAAAGGTAATGAAATGTACAGATCAAATTGTTTTTCCAATGATTGGTACTAAGAAAATAATTTCATTTCAGCTCACTATTGTGTGTCAGCAACTTATTTTTGTTGCACAACAACAATTTTCAGTTTCTTTATTTGGTTAGCAACACTTATGAACAACGTTTCATAGCAACACTTTTTTCAGAAATATTTTTGCAATAATAAAGCGAATCATTAGAACACTCCAACTTTTAAAATTCACATAAGTTTATTCTATTTTGATATCATTATATATTTATTTTTATTTAATATTTATTTTTATTATTACTGTACTTCCAACCTCTGATTTAGAATACATTGTCAGATCATTCCTTAAAAATACACTGCTAAATTATAAAAATACATTCATCTTTCGCTGCTTCTTTATCTGCCCAAGGGCAGGGATACCTTCATGGAGGACTTTCTAAGAGAAACTGGCCGGTATTTACACTACACATAGATAAGGCCATAAAAATGGCTATGCAACCAGCCAGCTCACTGGGATTTCAGGCTGTCAAACTATCAGTATTCAACATATGCTCAGCATTACCATCGTTAATGGGGAGTCTATAGCATTCAGTTTTGAATACAGTTACATTTTTAATCTTCTGAATGATATGACTGCCTTTTTCAAGTCATAAGATTTTTTGTCAGTTGGTATATATCAGTTTATAATTAAATACTTAGCTTTCATACGTTCTTTAATGACGTAAATGTCATCTTCAAGAATGGTGGTGTGGTGTATTTAATTATGGCAAAGCACACTAGGGCTATCTGCCTAAGGGGAGGGATGCCTTCGTGGAGGACTTTCGAAGGGAAAATGGCTCGTATACACATTACACATGGGGAAAACACCCATGCAGCCAGCCCGTTCGCGGGATTCGAACCTCGGACCGAACTATCAGTGTTCAGCAACTTTACCGCTCGGCCGCTGGTGGGCTTCTTCAAGAATGGAAGCTTACGAAAACAGAAACTAAAATAAGTAATTATAAAAATTCAACTTTTAACACTGTTTAAATACCATTTTTCATGAGCAGATCCAAAAGTTGAGTCACTCAAGGAGTTCAAGAAAAAATTAAAAACTGCTCATTAACAAACAGATAGAACAACAATGGATTCATACAACTTAACTACACCAAATATGAACAGAGTACAAAATAACTCTTTATTTGCTTTCTTTTTTAAAAAAATTAACTTTTATTGGGTCATCTGGAAAGTTCTGTAGTTTTTTAAATCGAAGCACGTTTTCTTTTAATTATTTTGTTACTTACGATAAGGAGTGATCTCAATCGAAATGGATGCTTAAATGTGATCTTTTTTGCTAGCAATGTGGAATTTTAGCATGTGTTGTGGCATAATTCAGTTCTGCATTTCAGTACAATGCTAAGAATGGAGAACACTAAAAGTTCATTTTTGTCCTATTATGATCTTGTAGCTCTCTTTTACTTAAAAAACAGGAAAATGCTAATGAGATTGGTTATGCAAACATGGAAAAAGTACTGACACAATTCAAAGATGGTTTGAGAAGACTTAAGTGCAGAAATTTCAGCCTCGAAAATGATGCTTGCTCTGGACAACTAACCTCTATAATCAAGGATCTATCAAAATTTTAGAGTATAGATAGATTTAGAGATATTTTAAAGAAGAGGAAGAGTTAAAATATACAAAAAATTTTTGTAAAAGAGGTTTTTTCAGTATAGAATTAGATCATAGAAAAAGGTTGTCAGAATACCGAAACTGAAGAATAATGATATAAAAGGAAAAATTTGAAAATTAATATTGGTTAAATTATGATGCATTTTATAAAATACAAACGTAAAAACATAGACTAATGAAAATATTTGCATAATGTAATATTTTGCATATCAATTTTGCACCACTGTTGAACGTTTTCAATAGAAACAGAATTTTTAGATTCATCACCATCTGCAGAGGAATCCAAGAAATTCTCATCAGTTTCACTATAACTATCTTCAATATACTTGAAATCAGAGTCAGAACTACTATCAGTGTTGGAAATATCGTCAGGAATATAGGTTATATCACTCACGAAACGCTTCCTGCCAGACACCTTTGAATTCTGAAAAGCGCACACAAAATGCTACATTACGTATTCTTGTATATTTGGCAGAAATGTGGACAACTAACGTCATCTGTTAGCCCACATCTAAATATACAATTAAACATCACAGAAACGCTGAAAGGAAACCTTGAATGGGAAAAGAGCGGGTTGAAGGGTTAAATAGACGACAAAAATTCATCCCCACGGAAATCACGGATTGCGCAAATTTTGCTACTTCTACATTGCCCGAGGAAATCGCGAGATGCGCAGCGAGAGGGTTAATGTCATCAGAGAAAGACTAAGATTTATTGAATATGGCTGGAATGTTTTGTGACATCTCCCCTTTATATTCACTGAAAATTTTTATCTCCTCAGGTCCCTTCAAAATTCTCCAAATGGTCAGGAGCTCACTTATTTGGAGACTGTCAGACAGCATCTCAATAACTTTTTACGAATAAACCAAAAAGACATTTTTCAAGAATTTTCCAACTGCCATAGAGATGGACAAAAAAAAAAAAAAAAATGTTGCTTATGTGATTCAATGAAATCTTCTAATGTTTTTGTACTGCTTTAATTATCATCTTTCATATAACATTTTAAGAAAAAATCCACAATATTTTTCAGATATTCACAAATTACTACTTAACATTTCAAAAATTACTACTTAACATTTCATTATCAGGAAAGAATTGATGTAAACATTTGTTTGAACTCCCTCGACTTTTGGAAATATATTTTATTTTTACTGACCTGCCCTGCAACCCGTGACAGTTGATTTCCTACGCAAGTGACCCTGTGAAACAATATTCAAAACTTTGTTTGTGATGCTTCTTCAGAATTTATTAGTGAAAATGAGATTCATCACTATCTGCAGAGGAATCCGAGAAATTCTCAACAGTTTTGCTATAACTATCTTCAATATACTTGAAATCAGAGTCAGAACTACTCAGTGTTGGAAATATCGTCAGGAATATAGGTTAGATCAGTCATAAAACGCTTCCTGGCAGACACCTTTGAATTCTGAAAAGCGCACACAAAATGCTACATTACGTATTCTTGTATATTTGGCAGAAATGTGGACAACTAATTTCATCTGTTAGCCCACATCTAAATAAACAATTAAACATCACAGAAAAGATGAAAGGAAACCTTGAATGGGAAAAGAGCAGGTTGCACAGTTAAATAGACGGCAAAAATTCATCTCCCACAGAAATCACGGATTGCGCAAATTTTGCTACTTCTACATTGCTCGTGGAAATCACGGGATGCGCAGCAAGAGGGTTAATGTCATCAGAGAAAGACTAAGATTTATTCAATATGGTGGAATGTCTTGTGACATCTCCCCTTTATATTCACTGTAAATTTTTAAATGTTATCTCCTCAGATTCCTCAGGGTTCATAGCCACATTTTAGTTAAAAAAATAAGCACCTATAAGCCCTTTTCAAGCACATTTTAAGGAAAAAAAATGCACCTGTCTAATTACATTATACACAACTGCATAACCTTAAAAGAAAAATTAGATTTGTAATTTAAAATATGAGCAATGCAATATTTATTACGAGAATGAGTATTACCTCAACAATGGAAAACAATTAACTTTTTTTTTTTTTCTTTTTTTACATTTTAAATGACAGTTCAATTTACAGAATTAGTTTACAATGAGAGAAAAAAAAACTATGCAGAACTAAACTATATTACAAAATTTAATGATGATATTTCAGTTGAAAATATAGAAAATAAATAATAATAAGCCATAATAATTGTATTCGTTTAGCACCTAATAATAAATACAATTTATTTTTCCACTCATATTAATATTTAAATAATTTAACTTAAATCAAAATTCTGAACATTTTCTAAATTTTCATTCCATAACAGTTTTCCCTTAACATATATCCCAAACAAAGTAATTTAAGTAAAAAAGAGGCACATTTCTGAAATCAGAAGACGGGAAATTGCTTCATTCAGTCATCCTTTGACAGTAAAAGCTTAACTAACCCGCATAATCGGAAATTCCCGAATATTCCGGATAGTAACTGGAAAAAGAGGAGTGGGGGAGACTGTAGCCGTTCTTTAGATTTAAATGTAGGCTAAATAAATGATTTTGACATTTCGATATGTGCATCATATAAAAACCGAAGGAACTGAGAAATATTCTGCTTAGAAAGCACAGTAAAACTCTTTTAAGTGTTCATAAACAAATCTCAGACTGAACCTCAAAATTAATTATCAATTCGCAAAATACCGCAAAAGTTATTGCGCAATATGTTATTGCGATAGTGCAATACGTTATTGCGCAATACGTGCGGCGTAATTCTTCCATATGTGATATTACACAATCGGAATCAACACCTGCCGGTATTCGGAGAATAAAGAACTAAATAAAGGAAAAGAAAGAGACTTACTAATCTGGGGTGTTTCTGATTCTAATTTTCAACAGACTGTATTAAATTTCCGGAATAGAATCAATCTTCATTTGGGTTGGGTAGACCACAAAAACGTTTAGTCCTATTCAATCCAGATTGGACAGTGACAAAAAAAAAGTCCGCTGCTTCAATATTAGAGATTTTGCAGAGAAACTCCCAACCTCCATACTGTATAATGTATTGGCAAAGAAAATGAAATTATTTTGACTATTCGATTACTTTCCTTTTATTTAAACCATTCCGAATATTATTCCTTAGAAAGCTAATCTGTGTAAAAACAAACCCATTTTTGGAAGTTTATCTATACTTCAGCAGTTACTGCAACTATATTATTATAAATATTCATACATATGCTCATAATATAAGCATAACGATCATAATAAACATGCGAATATGAACTGACCACGCAGAACGAGAATGCAAATTATTAAAATCTTGATAGAAATTCAAACGTGTGTAGTATCTGGGTGGGAGGAAAAGAATACCAAATGTACCGGAATTTTCTACCGCTTTCGCAATTCTTTGGCCAATAGAACGACGTGCACCTGTCTGTACTCTTGCGCGCACCATAGGTTACGTTAATGCAGAGGAAGGGGGGAAAAGCAATTTCCGGGAGTATGATTCACCATCTGACGTTGCATATAAGGAAGAAAAGTTGTTTATTTAGTTTCGGCTTTGGTACGGTGGAAAAATGCGCATTCATTAAAAACAAAGGATTAAAAAAAAGCACTAAAAGCAAAAAAAAAAGGCTTTAAAGAAAAAGTAAGCACCTATATATAAGGGCCTTTATATTTTATTTTCAAATATAAGGACTTATAAGCACTTGTAAGGACCGCTACGAACCCTGTCCCTTCAAAATTCTCTAAATGGTCAGGAGTTCACTTATTTGGAGACTGTCAGACAGCATCTCAATAACTTTTTACGAATAAACCTAAAAGACGTTTTTAAAGAATTTTCCAACAGCCATAGAGATGGCTAAAGTTGCTTATGTGATTTTGAAAGTTTTGGATTGACATTAAAAAATTCCTTTTAACTTAAAAATCTAATTGAGGAAATAAAACAAAAATACCGGAGTTCTGATGGAAGAAGATGAAGGAGCAGAGATTAACTTTTTACTCATTTCTCTTTGAAGGCACTCAGCAGTTTCATAGAAACCTATGGAAAAGAAAATAATATTTACAAATATCATGATAAAGCATCGTATGCAAAATGCATCAGTAAAAATGGCAGTTGACACAATTTCATTTCTGAAATTCATATCATACATTAATTGTTCACCTAAATAATAATAATAAATTTTAGGTTTAACAGAAACTTTAGATTACTTAAATCTAAAGTTTTTTATACGTTTTGTTTCTTTAGTTGTGATGATATTTTGTTTGTTAAAGCCATTAACTTCCCCATTCATTCAATAATTAAATCAAAATAAATACATAGATTTGATCATGATAAATACTATGATTAAATATATAAAAAATAATGTTTAAAATTTTTTATGCTTATTAATAAAGAAACTGCTACATAGAATTCGATACTTCACAGTTTAGTTACACAATTAAATAGCTTCTCAGAATTCACACAGTAGTCAATGAGGATGGTAATCAATAAGTAATCATGTAATAGAGTAATCATTGAGTAATCATGTAGTATATGATCTACCACTTTTAGTTAATTACTTATTTTTTATGGCAGCACTAAAACTGGCTATTATTTTAATTACTTCTTTTCCCCATTTTATAGCACCAAAAATATCATTTTGATGGGGCAATCTAACTAACTAAACATGGTAGATTGCGTACTATACGATTACCCATTTTTTGACCATCAAATATCATCTGCAGACTCTTATCTACTCTTATTTATTTCCACCTGAAGCTGTGGATAACTCTTTCTGCAGGTGCATTCATTTGTAAGTACATGATAACTATTTATTGAAAATATTGCTCTATTTAATCCCGTTCAGAAACAGTACTCTTGCTGAAAGTTTCAGTATACTTGCTGAATAGGCAGGATAGTTATGGATATAGAATAGAGTCATTTTTCTACCAGCAAAACCTGACTGGTGACTTGGTTGGATAAGCACTAGTAGTTTAGCCCAGCCCCTGTCGAAAGGGGGAGGCTAAATGAAGTTTCTGTATTTATTTACTTCACAATTCCTGAATCTGTCAAATAATTCTAATCCATATATTTATCAGCAAGTATCATCATCACACATTTTTGTTCAACAAAGCTATTCATATTTACTTCTATGTGAAATGGCCGAAATTAATTTCTGTATATGCATTTTGCTTAAGCTATGTTTTGTTAAAAAGAAGCAAATTACCTTTCAAACAAATAGGCAGCAGGTGATAATGCATACAATATAGCAGAAACCACCCTAATTTTCTTTCTAAGCAATGCAAGTAGACCTGTAAGGTACTGTTGAGCAACTGTGAGTGAGATGCAAAGATGATAGAGGACAGAGTATGATACTCTGGCACAGTAACAGCTATAAAGGTGCAATATATATTTTGCCTAGAAAGGAATGTATGTGTGATGGTAAGAAAGGATGGTATAGGGCTGACATCATACAGAACTGACACTAGCAGATCACTGAACACTGCAGAGAATCGACACAGGCATAGGAACACCACCAGCACACAGCAGACATTGCATAGTGGAGCCGAAATTTATAATTAACAATAGTGCATAATCCCCCTCAACTTTTTTTTCTTTTAAGTGTACCTGCATAGGACTGTACACACAGCTGAAACAAGTTTTGGGGCCGCTTTACCGATCCTGTGTCAGCAAAAATGTTGTCAGTTCCATGCAGTATTGGTACTATGTTGGTGCGAGTCTCAAAAATTATCTTCTAAGGCACTGCGATTTTTGCATGTCCCAAATAATTAAGCACATTGTAAGTTTTTGCTGCTCATAGTTATTCAAAAATGTTTAATGGAAATGGTTGAATCTACTGATGCCCCAAATTATATGGCTGTACATATTTCAATTCTAGGCATGTTATGCATTAAATCTGCAATAATGAACTGAAGAGCATTTTAAGAAGGAGTTACTAATTAAGAAACAAATTTTTCCCATCAGTATTAAATTCAAGATATTGAGAAATCATGGTATTTTAGAAAATTAAAGCATATAACATAAATAAGAGAAAATATAATAATGATTTGTTTACCGTGTTCTTTAAGATGGTCTGAAATTAACTGCAGAAGTTGAGCTTCATTGTACACAACTTTGGTTTTAGCTACAATTTCAGACTGTTCAAATAGAAATATTAATATTAAAACTGTACATCTAATACTATCAAAAAACAATAAAATATCTAATATTATAAAAAATTTTACCAAATGTTTAGACTCAGTTGTCCACACTTTATCTAAGATACATGTGATTTTCTTTTACTTTCAGCTATTTTTTTATTGTTATTTTATTTTTTAAATTTTGCAATAAATATATGTAACATAATTTATATCGTCTTTCCTAACATAGGAAGAGTTTCTGATACCATTTCCAACTTAGAGACATAGCAGGAGCAAAGAAATTTTAAATAACAGTTTAATAGAGAAATTCACTTTCAAGTTTCAGAATACAGGCAGATAAAGATTAAATTTAAAATAGATACAAGAAAAAAATACCAAATGTTAAATGATAGTTATTGACTGACTGCCCGATTTTAACAACAGTGTACAAAAGATAATCAGTGTTTGAAAATGATGACATTATGACTTCTGCCAAGCTATTTTAAACACAGTCAAAAAAATTAGATGCTGCAAGGGGAATTTTATTCGAATCAAAGAAACTGATCGAGCCATTTTTAATGGAGTCAAAGAAACTGGATGTTAAAAGCAACAGTATGTTTTCTGCCAAATCATTTTTAGTTAAAGAATTAACAGAGGTTTATTTCTCCTCTTGCCCAGCCATGGATTATTGGAATTTATATGAATTCATTCTATACTGACAAAAAAAAAAAAAAAAAAAAAAAAAAAAAAAATAGCACATAAAACTGTTAACAAATCTGTCCATAACAGAGCAGCAAATTTGCTATTAATCTCTCATGGAAAATATCTTAAAAATATTATCATAAAATTAAGGCATTGTTTTGATAAAGCAATAAATACATTCAAATTTTACATCCAGCAATTTCACACTGAAAAAAATATAATATATATAAAACATGTTAATACCAAATAATATCTAATCAACTTTAGCAAAGATTTCATTAAGAAATTTCATATAAATATTCATTAAAAATTCAAACCACATTAAAACTTCTCAATCTTTATGGACACACAGATCTCATTACATAAACTTTGTTTAATATATTCACAATTTCATGTTGCTTGTATGTCAATATTAAATTTAAATACTTATTAAAAATACTTTTTTGATATTGAAAAATCAAGTGGTAAAGATAAAAGTAGAGATCCTCAGTTGATGAGCAACAGCTCGCAGTTCCATTGATATACTACAAAATTTTGTACCACAGATGCAGCTTTATTAGGAAAAAGGACAAACACAATACAAGCTTTTATACTAAAATATCTTTTAGGTAAGAGATTATATTTCAATGTCTTCTGCAAATATTCACTAATTGACAGAGGAATGCCACACCATGAAGATGAGAATGCTGTGCTATACAAACTACAGAATGAATTTATATGTGCAATTATGCAAATGATTAAAATTTTTGGCCAATCATATGAACTGTAACTGTGATGTAAGCAGAAAACTAAGATCTAAATCTGTCATTTAAGATACAGTTATGGCTGCAAAAATGATGGTGTTTTTGCTATTATTGTGTCTGAAAAATGAACAAGGAGGGTAAATCTTTTCAAGATGCCATAATATTTTATTAAGGCAGCACAAATCACAACATAAGACACTATAAATCCATGATTGGCAGCATCTTGAAATAAATACAGAGAGTTTTGAATGCTCCAGTATCAATGTGGTTAGTATTGTACCACTGTTGCCCGGCCATCTGTTGAGGAGATGGCTGTTCTTAACAGTAAGCCACCTTCATCATCACCTAAAATGGCATTACACCACGGCAGTGTGGGATGAAAAATGGAACTCACTATTGATAATTGTCAGGGAAGAGTCTGATGGGAACGAGCCTATCAGGTAGAGTGCCTTGCCGTTTTGAAGCACCATATAACTTGTCAACAGAAAGGCATGGTTTGATGTGCATCTATGTCAACAGCCATTCACTTCTAGTATGCATTATGGATTCACTAACCACACTTTGTTATGCTGATGAGCTACTTACTATGGCCCATATCCCAACCAGAAAGAAGGGTAGCTTGCAAATGCAAGTTTTCAACAGGCTAATTAATCCCTAGCCATATACAGATCAGAAAGGTGTGTCAGTTTAATACCTTTCAATTCCCACTATATACAGAATTGTGGATTCAGATCAAAACAATGCAGTCCATGATACCTCAGTATACTATTCAGATGCCTTTCAAATCAATGTTGTAGAAGACTCAGCAATGTATCACCTAAATTAGAAAACCCATTTCTTATTAAATTTTAGGACCTTGGATAAATAAGCATAAAAATTAATATAAGGTATGATGTGAACATTGATTCATGGTGCAGCATTTCTTATGACATGGAGTATATTTAATAGTTATTAAGTATACAGTGCCTGCTCCTTATTAAACTCCCTGGCTAATAAACTCTGATTCTTAATTGCATTCAAATTTCTGGGAACCAAAACAAATACACACTAATCAACAGAAAAACTGCCTTTATTAAACTCAATTCTGCTGCTTATAAAACTCAGGTTGGCAAAAGACTGATTCTACAGTGCAATATATCCTACTAATACCTATCAAAGCTTTTCAAAGTTCAACCATTTGTGTATCGTGGACCACTGCTTTATTATTCAGGTATGTAGTGCTTCACTAAAATGGGTTTTCCTATCCCAAGTCTCTGTACCTGCAAGAAACTGTTTTCAGAATTCTTTTTCTGCAATGGACTTTAAAGAGGCAGAATTTTATTCAGGTTAACAAAAACAATCCTCTAAAGGCACTGTAATTGGATGAGGAATCCTTTTTGAATACTGAGGGAAAATCTTCTTTCCTTAAGATAAACAAAACTTATCCTGTAAAGACACTGTAAATCAATGTCTCTCAACATGGAGCACACACTTTACAGGGGGGACAATTCATTTGTTAAGGGGGTCAATTCCAAAATGGACTTGTCCAGAGTTTAAGGGGACAAAGGGCATTTAAATTTTTAAATTTTCTTCAAGACATCGAAATTTAACTTATTCTCAAAAGTAAAGAATAATGCAAGTGATGTATACGTAAAAAAGTTTTTATATTGTGATGCATTTGAAATACTTTATAAAAAATTTTCGTGTAGACATGGACATTTAAATGCTCAGAAATTTGCTCCTAAAACCCATCATTCAAGTTTCTTTTCTGAGCATTTCAATTTTTGAATATTAAAAATTATGTATGTGCGCTATGGGAGCATAAGAATTTTAGAGAATATTAGTTGGGGCATGTCAAGTAAAACACTGGGAAACACTTCTGTAAATGAATGACGGTTCCTTCTTGAATACCACCTGAGAACATTTTATACTGGCTAGAAACATAAATATGAATAAATCATTGGAAGAAGCATTTTTAAAATTTGTTTTACACTCAACTTGCAACATGTCAAAAATGCCAAGTGAAAAGACTTAACCACTTGCGCTACGATTTAACTTCACAGTTGCGGTGCCGTGCACTACAATATAACAAGCGGTAAAGTGTCTCATTTATGCTGCTCCGCATCTGCGAGTGCAATCCAGAGCTGTAACTTGAGAAATAAACAATCTCCTTGTCAGGTGACGTGTACAACACATTATTTTCACTTTTGTGATAAATGCCTATCGACGTGATGTTCATGTCACTCGCGGTTTGAGACAAAAGAATCTCGACGTGCGTGGCACATCTTTTTAGCGCAAGTGGTTAAGCCTGAAAGAAAAGAATAAACAATTAAGACATCTTGATGGTCTTGGTAATTGCAGCCAGAGAAAAACTTCATTTAAACAAGGAATTTTTCAGACAGCAGGGTGCAATTTACTTAAACAAAAATTAAAATTAATGAAGAAGTAATAAAAGACATATGTTTCAAAAGCATCCCCCCCCAAAAAAAAGGGAGGGAAAGAAGAAAAGAAAATCAAGAAGGGCTGAAACTGCTTTTTTAGAATGGTTTCAAGACATAAAACTAAAACATGTTTCTATTTCTATAGCTCCTTTCATGAATTTGCTAAATGCTAGCACAGATTATGCATCAACTGACAAATGGTTCATTAAGTTGGAGAAAGAGAAATTAAACATCTTCATCAGAAATTGCAAAGTGAGAAGGAAGAGGCAGATCATCATGTGGCTGATAAGTGGATGAAAGCTGTTTTACTTAAGCTACTAAATGAGTGCAAGCCACACAAAATTTATAATATAGTATACAAAATTACACTGTGGTACAATATATTATCAGAACACATTTTAACATTTTTAAGTGAAATGGGAGCTGGTTTAAAGAAACTGAAGGAATGAGTTACTGTGTTATTAACCTGCAATACAGATTGAACAATTAAGGAGACAACACAGGTTATTGAAAAAACCAGATGACCCTAATGTTTGAAAGGAGTCAAGAATTTACCTCCACTACAGCAGCAAAACTTTATAGATGTCAAGTAGTAGTAAAAAAAATCTGAAAGACTTCATATTTTAACAACTCCTCAACATGACTCTTAAAGTTTAATACAGTTTATAAACAGGGATTATTGATAGAGATAGCCCAGGTGGAATATCAAAACCTTTTATAGGATATTAGATGAATATGCATTTAGAATAACATGGGAATGTTATATATCTTCTGTATACTTAATAGTGAATAAAATATGAAATGTAATTTATAAAAATATTTAAAGTTTCAATGAGATACATCATGAATTAAATGTATTTTTATTTAAATCAATCAGATTAAAAAGTAAAACAATAATATTTTTAAGATTGCATTTATTGCTTTTAAATGGTTTACTTTGTTCATTAATAACAGACAGATTAAATATAAAAGAGTAATAGCTTACGTTTTTCCCGAACGGCAAAAGACTCAAATGAAAAGTTAAACAATGCAAAATCGTGCTTCAAGGCAAACAGTGCCCTTTTGGGCTAAGAACTGTGCACAGCACACATCTCTGATCTCTCTCTGAAAAACACTAGTATTGCTTCCAGCAGATATAACTTAACATTTAGTCTTCAGATCATGGTATTATAAAAGGTTGCAAATGTAGTTGCAGAAATGATGAACAAAATCGAATTTTTGAAAATGCAAGCACTTTAAAAGGAGAAAATTCCAAAAATGTGACTTTTTATGTAGAAGTTTTGGAGGAATTGCAAGCTAATTAATTCACAAAAATATTGAGACAACATGTGTTTCATTTCAGAAATTCATTCATCAGACAACATTTCAGAAATGTTAAAAGAACTGCAAATGCTATTAGTGAAAGTGATACAGAAGAAAGTGATAATAACACAACATCAATTGAATCTTGAAGAGCACTGTAACAGTTTTATAAAACTGAGAGCAAAATTTAAAAAAGACTTTGAAAAATATGAAATGAACACAATTTTTTGTAAGAGATTAAATTTCATCAAGAACATGGAATTTCAAAGTTACAGAAATTATTAAATTTTAGCATTAATTTTTAATTATTGTTTTAGGATTAATTTTGAATTAGTTTTTACTTATAATTTTACTCGCAAAGTTTAAAACTGATATCATGATTTGCAATACAAATTGCCACTTAATGAATTCAAATATGTTTGGAATGGAAGCTATTTTAGCAAGTGGTGGGTACAGTATATAGAATCTCATTCTAAAATCCAATCAATCGATTGCCTTTTCATTATTTAGTTCAATTCATTATTTAGTTCAAAAGATAAAGATGAAAAAATTATGATATGAACTGAACATAACTTGGAGAAAGACAGAGTCATATTTCTAGATCAGCACTATTAGGGGTACAATAGGATTTTATACTAATTCAAATGTTCAAAATTATAATTGGAAGAAGTTTTCATGTAAAACATCCATCCAAACAATCACATCACAACTGTGATACTATTTCTACATATGCAATAGCTAAAATTTTGTGACATTATATTTAAACATATAATCTATTAAAAATGGGAACCTTATTTATGTTGAGCATGGATAATTCAGAACCTTCAGAAATAGGAGCTCCGGTCACTCGCTGAATTAATTCCAATCCATATTTGCAAAAAAGAACATGGTCATTACCTTTATCTTGCAGAACAGGTTCTTTCATCAAATCTAAAATAAAAATGAGATTCAATTTGAGAAAATATTTTACTCAACTATTTGGACAATTATAATCAATTAATCATGATAACATACTACAATGTATTTACAAATGGCTTCTTTCCTGCTAACCCTAATAAAATAGTCAAACAGTAACTTAGTGGCAATGACTAACGAAATAACTTTTCACAAAATATCATCTTATGGGTAGAAATTCAAGCAAAATTTTTCTGCCTGAATCATTTTATGCACAAAAACTGAATCAACACAGGTAGCCCAACTTTCTGCAAGCATTCAATCAACTTTTTGTCACCTAGTTAAACTGTTGCAAAGAAAGGTATGACAGTTACTAATTATTCTCTCCATCATTATATTGGATGTCTGCAAGCTGCTTTTCAGAGATGAGACAAATCATAAATTTCTTTAATTTTGAATTCTAAAAGATTTCAGATCTTGTAAAAATACACTTATATTTATCAAATGACTACAGGTGAAGTTTAATGAATGAAGCACATAACTGCAAGTTCATTTTCTCAATATAATTGGAAAAAATAATAACAATAACTGCTTAGTTTTCAATAAACAGTTAAACTTTCAGCAAACATGCTAAAAACGCTGAATCTTTAATTTTTCAACAGCAATAATACTTTTCAGGGCTTTCCAGGGAATGCATAGATCGTGATTTGCTTAAGACAGTGCAATCACTCATGTAAACATTCACACTTTTAAGTAGGATTCAAACCTTCCATGATTTGAGCATACCATTTGTCTGTTTTGAGACAGAAAAGTTTGATCTGTTTGACTGATTATTACAAAACATGCAGGAGTTACTTGTTTTAGAAGACATTCATACTAGCCATAAGAGAAAATACAAAAATTCACGCAGGCTATCAGTTTAACATGAATAAAAAATGGATAAACTCTTTGGTGTTCAGTATTCATGTACTCAACCACAGGGGAACCAGTTACCAAAAATAGCAGATCCAGTATAGAGCTATTTTAAATATCTTTCCAAATAGCTTGTAACTTAAATTTATATATAACTTCTGAAACTTAATGGAAGAATCAAAACTAATAATTTGACAAGAGTGAATAAGTGAATACAGATAGCACAACAGCTTATGCACATTGTTTGAATCCTATAAATGGGTGGATTCCAAGGTTTCCTCATGTGTAACATACAAACCAGTTTCTTATAGAAAATCTTCTACAAAGGCATCTATTCTCACATGCAGATCGCCTTCCTCTATCATATTCAATTAAATAAATATCACCTTTTAATCTGATTAAAACACAAAGAAATTATATTACTTCAAACTGGCATAGGGCAGCATTACTGAGAATTTTTATAGTTGATGGGAAAGAAAGAAATTTATCCTGACTAAAAACTGAAAAAAGGAAGACTGGAAGAGAAGGGGTTGAGTAAAGATGAAAAAGAAAGAAATCCCCAGATTTTAGAAGTTCACAAAAATTTAATACTATATTGAAATACATTGTTACCTAAAAGCTGTCCATCTGTCACCAAAGGGAGTTTGCTTATAATTTGTTTCACATGGTCTGACCTTGCTAATCCACAAAGTGCCTATAAAAGTATAATTTTTGTTCTTTAAGAATAACAGAATCTATAGCTGCACTTTATAATATACAATCAACTATCTGGGAAAAAAATTTTTTTGTCTAGGAAATTCAGAAATATTTTGCATACTTAAATGCACATACTCAGAAAGGCATCAATACTGATTTTATAAAATTAATTAATATTCTACATCAGCTTTGTCATAGTAGAACATAAGATGATTTTTTGAAAAAAAGTAAAATGGCACTTTTACAGATACACCTGAGCACAGAGAATTTTACTTACACAGAGACGAACAACCTGATCATTAAAAATAAAATTCAGACAAATGAAATCGATTCTAATTTATATACAGTACATATTTTAACATATATATTTTTTTGCTTTTGCTAAAATGTAGTTAAGACACTGTGCTTCATAACATTTGCCCAGAATCAGGCCATAAATTTCCCAAATGTAAGGTAAAGACATTTTAAAACATGATAGAGAGAAATGAAGCCATGACTATATTGAGTTCTTAATGAATCTAATGTCATTGATAATAACTATGCCACCAACATTTAAATTATTCCATATATATAATGATTGAAACTTGGTAATTTCGGAAACTTACGCTAAAGCTGCTAAGTACCTAGGCATGTATTTATTAAGTAGCTTTTGGATTATGTACTGGGAAAAGAAATAGGGCAAATTAATATAAATAGCGAGTATTAATAAAATAGTTAAGTAAAATTATAAATGCCCATTTTCTATGAAAAGAGTCATTAAATTTCAAGAACCTCAGCTGCCAAAATGCAAAATCATTTTGCACTTTGGAAGCTAAGGTTGATGGTTCGCTAAAACCATCAAAAATAGACCTGTGAAAATTTGCAAATACAACGCTGATTTTTTTGTTTGAATTCTAAATTAATTGTACATTAAATTAATTAAAATTGTATGTTTGCTTTATTTGTTATTAATTTTTAAATGTCCACTACTCAGACTTACATTTAAAAAAAATGTGCTATTCGCATAAAAATCCCATAATCTGCCTTTAAATAACATTTTTTTCACTTTTTTATATATTTTTGATATGTTGGGAAAGTTGGAAGTGGCAAGCATTAACTTTTTGTCCCCTCCCCCTCCAGATAGTGGCACTCTGCACTCTTCTCAAAAAGGTTGGCCACAGCTCAGATAGATAGACACAGATATATATGTATGCATGTGAAAGATAAATATATATATATGTGTGTGTGTGTGTAAAACAAAGCTCTAATTTTCTATTAAATCTGCATTTTAATTCAAAGTATTTCTCCTTTTTGTTTTAAAAATAGTATCTGCTCACAACAGATCTCTCTAGACTGCATCATTTCAAAATTAACAGCTGTCTTATGATTCTTGCATACTGTTCATTATGGAATGAACAAAAGGCTTCAGCCAATACTAATTTTAAAAGCTTATCAATTAACCAACTAGGATAAAGCAAACTGAAACTAACTCTTGTGAAACAAAAATTCAAATCCCTTCATATTCAACTTTCATCTTGGACATGCTGCATTTCGCTTGCTTCAAGCGTATTGCAAAATTTTTTACGGTAACAACATAATTCTTCAAGAACAGGTATGAACAGTACTTTATCTGTGTTGACTTTAAAATGTTTGTCAACGAGAATGAAAAGGAACATTAAAATCGAACATGACTGCATACTTTTTAACATATCAACATTCCAAATTATTTCATATACCTATTCTAAACTTTGCTAACCATGCCTAAAAAAAAGTTTATATTTTCACTGACTTTAGTTAGTTTGTATCAGTTCATTTAGTTAGTTTATATCATTTTTAACTTTAGTTCAGTTTATATTTTCCAGTAAGGCAAATGACAATTATGCAGAGAAGTTGTTTGCAAAGTTATGTTTCTTGCCTCAGCCTCTTATTAAATTAAACATAATTAAAAAAATAAAGTAAGCATAATAAATTTAAGCCTTTTACCATATTAATACTTTTAAAGAACAAGTAAAGGGCTTATATGTATATTAGCCTTCTTAATTCTTTCTGATTTGGATACATTTTCAGCAAGTTAAAACTACTGTATGAGAATAAAAAATCACTGCAGTAAAAAACAGGATATACTAACTTTACAAGCCAAAGCTCGGATAGAATCTGCATCTGTCAGGGGACTTTTGATGGAAAGAAGGTTGATTAAAACCTGAAAGGAAAAATTTCTAAATTTTCAAAACTTGCACTAAAAAAAAAACTAAAATTAAAATTCTATACTGTTGTTTTAAATTAAAATTACAGGAAAGATAAATGCATTTTACAGGAAACCCTATAGATAGTAAGTGCAGTATTCCCCTCTTCCCTTTTCTTCCTTTGTAATGTAACTGTAGTCAACTTCTGATTAACCAGCTTGAGGCGGAGTATGGTGTACACAGTTATCTCAAAATCATGGATAATCCAATAAAAGAATGATCCATATTATAATGAACAAAAACAAAAATTACTGTTAACAATTTACCTATGTTTTCAAGCAGTTTAAGCTGGAGAATAAGTTAATTTCATCACGCAAACTAAATCAGTATCTGAAACAAAAGCTACACACTTCAAAAGAGAATGAACACTGATTTATTTATAATACTCTTGATTTTAATACAAGTCAATGAGAAACAGAAGCTTAATGGCTGTACACTTTATTTATTTATTAACACAAAAGGCGTTAGATCAGAACGACTATTAATTTCATTTTGGCATTTTGCGTTGAAAACTTTAAATGTCCATTTCAGTTTTCAAATTGTTGCCACCAAATATTATCACCCTGTGTTATATTTAAAGAAAATAAATAATGAAGAATCTGTATAAATGTATATATGTTTCTCGCACTGTGATAAAACAATGGTACCTATAGTATAGTCATCAAATTTTGAATAACGCAATCCTCCACCAAATATGGGCATTGGAAGCCCTAATTTGGAATTTGTTTTATTATCAGTTTCATATTTTGTAGCACTTTAATGAATTTTTTATTAACGAACTCACCGATTTCAAAGTGAGCTATGGCAACACTGTACAGAAAAACAAACATTTTTATCTCCAGCGTGCGAGACTGTGTATTAGAAATTCTAAAGATATGCTCATTTTAAAATTATTTTGCAATATTGCTGTTGAACTGTTTTATGGTTAAATTGCAAAGAACATGATGTTTAATAAATAAAGGTCACAAACAAAACGTTTAAAAACAGCCCCTTTGGGTGTAATTTAAAAAGGTTTCAGATTTTTTTTTTTTTTTTTTTTTTTTTTTTTTTTTTTTTTTTCATTTGCAATTTATTTTTAAGGAATGATTTAATAATATTTGTATATTCTCAGGAGACATTTAGCAAGTAGGATTCAGAAAATTCAATTATACAATTTCAATCGACAATAACAGATAAGAGAAAATAATATATCAGATTAGTTAGATTATCTTTAATAGGACTGCCTTGAAAAGAAATTTGATTTCAAATGCTATTGATACAAAAGTTTGAGATTTAATATTTCACAATAACAAATGCAGCTCATTTTTTCATCAACTCTTCCTACGCAGAAAAATTCCCTAAAATATGTATAATAAAAGAGTAAGAATTGTACCTACTTTTGAATTAAAGAAATAGAATGTTCGAGCCCAAGATAATTTTACACGCACACATTCTGTATGTCATAAAAACTGAATAAGATGTAAAAGGAGAAATATGTTTTAGCAAAACTTTAAAAGTGTCACATGAAGTTTATTGATTTTGGAATGATTTAAAGAACAAACATACATCAGTTTATATGTTTAAGCTAAGAAAAAGGTAAATTATTACTCTCTTCCTACACTTTTCTTCCAAAGTACCTGTTATCGATGAAAACAAGTCCAAGACATCATCTGCAATAACTATGTTGACTCTGAGTTTTTGAGTTTTTTTAAATTACCTTTTTGTAACTTTATGTAAACAGTTTTGTTTTTATGTTGATGGTTTTGACAGTGATAAACAACATAATGATAATAAGAGTAATACACAACATAATGATAATAATACATTAAATACAATGTATCATTTTAATACAGATATAGAACAAAACATTTATTTGAATCTTCTATTACTGTTATTTGATGTCAATTCAATCAATTATTATGGATGTTTTAAGATGACAGACTTTTCCCTACTCTCTATTCTCATCTCTACCCTTAAACCTACTGTTACAATGAATGTATGAACAGTAAAACCAAATAATAGAAATACAAGACTCAAATAATAATTTACTTCCACACTTGTTTTAAAATGAAAGCACTATATAAATAGCGGATTTTTATAATACACATATGAGTAAAACAGCAAGAAGCAGAACTTACAATTATGCCATTTTTTATCCGAACACTTTTCCACAGCTTACTTAAATGCTCTTCTTGACTGAGTACTTTCTTTTTAGAGGCTAAAGATGGACGAGAACTATTCTCTGCCTTGAGGGGAGAAAAAGAAAAAAAAAATCATATTTGCAATACATGCATTCATAAGCTTTTAGAATATAAAATACAGTATAAAGTCACAGATCTGGACTTTGTCGGAACTTTGGCGATTCTGGATTTGGGATTTTTCAAGATATTAGATCATCAGTTTAAATCTAGTAAGATGGCATGTAGAAATTCCATGATTAAAAATATCAAATCATGATTTATGAAATAATGAAACATTTATGATATAAAGGATATCAAATTTATATATATATATATATATATATATAAAGCTTAATACTTATTTGTTTATTTTATTAAACATACATTATCCTTCACTAAAACTTTAAATGAAGTATGTGCTGAACAGTTGTCTACAATCAGGACAGTTCTTGCATCATCAGGTAAATTAACGGAATTCAAATTGTCGAGCCTCTGGTATGAAACGATTTTCAAACCAATCATTCATTAATACTTGTATCATTCATGCTCTTTTATTCGCACAATATATAATGAGGAAAATCTCTACTCCTTTAAATGCATGAGGTCATGTATTTTTACCAGTTACCAAAATATTTATAGTTGTGCATTCTTGGAGCATTTACACATGCTTAAATTGTTAGTCTGGCTTTGGAATACTAGTGTGAGCCTTTATAAGTTTGTTCTGGTGATAACTTTTAACTATTAATGAATTCAACAAATTAATAGCCTTATACCATGGCACTTTTAAATTTGGTTAACCTGTCAAATATTTGCCCTCAGTTTTTAGTTTAATTTCTTCATGAAATATTTTCGCTTGAGCCATTAGCATTGGGCCCGTCAATGGCACGCTCTCACTGCAACGCTGTCAGACCCATTCAATCATCACTTTGCCAAAATTGTCACTTTTAGCATAATAAATAATTTTTCCGTTATTCATTACAAGTGGGGTATCGAAATCCACAAAAAATTCAAAAAGCTCTTTTTTCTGTTTTCTTATGTCGTGTACAGTTGACTTTCCAATGCTCTTCACATAATTTTGAGACAGGTATACCTTTATCTGTTTTTTGCAGCAATTCCATTTTTTGTTTAATGGACATCAAAACACGCTTTCACTTTGTAGATCCTGTTGCCCCTCCAGAATTAGAAACTCTTTTCGACATAATTGAAAGCTGAAATTTAATTTAAAAAAAAAACTGCTGTATTAACAGTATGCAAAAAATAATAAGCTGGATCAAATCGGAAAGTTAAGAAACTGTGCAGTCTGCTATAGTAACTAAAATTCCTTGGGTATCAGTAAAATATAATTTTAGCCTAGCTTAATAGCATTCGCTATAAATTACTGGTTATGTATCATGAGATTGAGGATAAAAGACAAATTGTTCTGCTAAATTTTGTCTTGCTTCTATCGTGCATTGAGACAATTAAGCCTGAATTGTGTTACCTTTAGTTATTTATTATACTTATGTCTATTTCTTGCACATGCTTAAGTACTGAATAAATAAATTGCCACATATACATACTTAAGGCTTATCGAGCGCCGGCGCTACATATCTTATCGCCTGATGCAGTCTCTGCAGATCCTAGATTCTGCTACCAAGCGCCTACCTAAGTTCTAAATTTTTGCTATCCTTAAATTTTGGGTTCTAGTGCTTTCCCGAAATTCTAAATATTTTGTCATCTCTTAATTTTGTTGCTCGGTGCTTCTCTTAATTTCAAAATTTTTCTCTTCCCTAAATTCTGCCCTTCAGTACGGACTTATGTGCTCTGGCGCCGGTTCTGGGTTAATGTGAATAACAGATCGATTATTCTTAATTCAAACAGCACTAAATGCAATCTTTGGGCCTATGAGTATAATCAACAAAATCAATTTTTAGCATATGGAAAGAAATTTTTTTTGAATTGTTAGTCGTCAACTTTTCTTAGCGTATTTAATCTGTAATCATCGCCAAGCGAAATATCAACATAAAAAAAAAAGGTTACCATACTATTTTTATTCAGTTACTAATATAAAAAAATTGTTCAGGCATGGCTTGCATCATTCTAAGAATAGAGAATGTACATATTTTTGCCTTCTTCCAAATTTCCTTGAAATAAACATACGATTAATTATTAAGGCTCAAGGATATTTTTTGTTACCTATTTGTTATTTTGTTTCCTATTTGATTTAAGGCACATCAGTATGGTGGATGTAGGCTTAAACTGAATTTACGGAGCTAGATATGATTAGCATGAGATGGTTATTATATTAGCAGCAATTATGCATTTGTGTATATGAGTATTACCTACATTGTTTATTTAGTATTTAAAAAGCAGAATAATTCTATGTACTATAATAATTAAACTGATTCCTCTCATTTCAGAATTTTGTTTAGAAAAATACCTATTTATAAGACTACAAAACTTGAAAACAAAAATGATCAACAACAAAAAACAGGGGGAGGGGCTTACTATTTAGTAACTAAAATAATAATAAATTACAATAAAGTTTCAATTCATTCTGTTTAACCAGTAAATATAAAAAAAGTAAACAACACAAAATTAACCTCCTCCCCCAAAAAAAGAAAGAGACAGAATGTATGATAGATTATAATATATACACCCTTAAAACTAGGAGGGGTAACCAAACATTATCATGTATATAAGAAAACAAAGTGATAGAAATTTTGTATATTAACCCTTTCAGGACGGGCGTCTCATATACGCATTCCCTTAGAACGTTTCTTACAGCCAGGCGTCCCATCCACGCATCGCTAGAGACTGCATTCAGAGGACGGGTGATGCATATACACATTTTAAGCTGGATTGTTTTTCTGAAGGCCACTGCCACGTGCTAATGTAAATATTCGCGTATCTGATTTATATCCAATTCCTTTTTTAATTCTATTTATTCCTCTACTATATACGGTCTTTCAGGGTTACTAGACAGCCCAGTCAGTTTTGCATTGACTTCAGATATATTCCCGTTTTTTCTCTTTTTATTTCTGGAAGTCTTACCTCTTGTCTATTATGGCACCAAGACGCTATTTATCAGAGGAAAAATACCCTCGTATGGTTAATGAACCATTTACTAATGCAGATAAGAGTGATGATTCTTTTTTCTAAAGATTTAAAAAGTGATACTTTTTCTAAGAGTTAGAAAGTGATACTTTTCCGTGCTTCAAGATTTACCACACTCAGTCTTCATTTTAAATTTTGTTACTTCTTACTGTAAATAGGCTTTATTGTGTTGTTTTATTAATTTTAGACTGTATTGATCGATTTTATCAATTAAAACTTTGGAATAAATTGAATAGCGCTTTCGAAAATTATTTTACAAGATAAGGAAATTTTTAAGTATATTTTCATGTAAAATAAAGAAAAAAACGTTAAGTGCTAATTTTAACATATATAAGAGCTCAAGTAATAATCTAAAATGATACCAAAATTTATGAGGCTAGAAGTGAAACTTTTGTTTTTCTGATTTTTTTTATAAAATTAGGCTTAGTGATGCAAAACCTCCGTCCTGTATGGTGACTGCGTCCCGCACGAGCGTTTTAAACAAAGGTGTGCCATCGCGAAAAGGTTAAAACTTCCTTTTTGCCTTCTTTTTTTACTCAATACTATATTCATTTTGCCTCAACTTCCTCTACTGGTTTCTTATTTACATTGCTTCTGCACAAACTATAATTTTTTTTTTTTTTCCACATATGATTTCTTATGCTTCCTGGCTCTGAAAACTCTAACAGCCTCTACAAATTTGTATATTTTAAACCAGGTTGCTACTTTCATTAGTGGAAAAAACTAGGGGAAAGAGAAGAACTGAAGGAATTCTAAAACTTGAACTAGTGCCGTGGACAATAATTCACTACAACCTGGACTCATCGTGACTAGATCTCTTTGTTCTTCTTGGCTGCCTTTTAATTAGGTGAGAATAAAAGGAATTATTGTCTCCCCCCCCCCCCCCCGAGTATGCTGTTGTGATGTAGCTTAGTCAGCAATGGAAGTTCTATGGTTCTAATAATGGCATAGTCCATTTTTCATGTTTTTCACTCTGAAAACCTAATATCTCTACAATGTCAGGAAAAATTCATTTCAGTGTTAAGAATTCCTTAAAAGTTAATTAAAAAAGAATTTATATGAAGAAATAAAAGCAAATAATTCAAGCAACATGAACACTGAAACCACTGAAAAATAGACTGCATATCTTTAGTAGGCCTACTGAAAAGATGAAAATATATAAAGAGGTATTAATAAAATTACTCATTAAATACTTGATTTCACCCTAATATTCCCACATATTCAGTAAAAAAAATACTAAATTTTGCATTCATTACTTCCTTTTTCTATAAGTTAATAATTTTTTCTTCAACTTTTATAGCCATTCATCTAACATCCTAGACTTTTTCCTGTCCAGGATACAGTCCCAGACAATCAACAATCAAAGACTGTCTAAAAACATACATAAAATGAAGTGATTTTTTACAAAACTCTGTTACTTACTCAAAACACTGCTTAATATGAAATTTAATAATCAGACTTTAAAAATCGACAGAAGAAACTGTTCCAGTTTTTATGTTCAAAGCTATATAGAAAAACATTATTAAATTTTACACCTCAGTATTATTAACAACAAAAAATGAGATGCAGAATTTGAAAAATGGCATTTCTTTTAAAATAATACAATATATTTTATTATACTAGCTGCTATGTGGCCAGCCTTTGTCAGGCTTTTTAAATGTACTGGAAAAATGCCTAAAGGGAAACCAAACATTAAATTTAAAAATGCACAGTATTTTACTCTGCAGAAAAACATTACATATATATATATATATATAAAAGGGGAGAAAGAAAGAGAAAAAAAGCACATATTTCAATAAAAATGTATTATACATACAATAAAATTACAATGAAATAAGCAATACCCCTTAATACAAATATTAATTATCCTAATAAATAAATTAACCAACTTCCCATTGCCTTCTCTTGACAAACGTCTAGCATCCAAGAGAAACGTTAAATTTAAAAACTGCACAGAATTATAGCCCTCATTTTTCCGAGTGGCAACAGTGATATATCAGCAACAATGGCTGTGTGCCACAGTTGCTGATATACTCATAAATTTTGGTATCATTTTAGATTATTACTTGAGCTCTTATATATGTTAAAATTAGCACTTAATGTTTTTTTCTTTATTTTACAAGAAAATATACTTAAAAATTTCCGTATCTTGTAAAATAATTTTCAGAAGCGCTATTCAAATTATTCATCTAACATCCTAGACTTTCACTGTCCAGGATACAGTCCCAGACAATCAACAATCAAAGACTGTCTAAAAACATACATAAAATGAAGTGATTTTTTACAAAAACTCTGTTACTCAAAAACACTGCCTAATATGAAAATTTAATAATCAGACTTTAAATCGACAGAAGAAACTGTTCCAGTTTTTTATGTTCAAAAGCTATATAGAAAAACATTATTAAATTTTACACCTCAGTATTATTAACAAACAAAAAATGAGATGCAGAATTTGAAAAATGGCATTTCTTTTATTAAATAATACAATATATTTTATTATATACTAGCTGCTATGTAGGCCAGCCTTTGTCCTGGCTTTTTAAATGTACTAGAAAAATGCCTAAGGGAAACCAAACATTAAATTTAAAACTGCACAGTATTTTACTCTGCAGAAAAACATTACATATATATATATATATATATATATATATAAAAGGGGAGAAAGAAAGACAAAAAAAGCACATATTTCAATAAAAATGTATTATACATATAATAAAATTACAATGAAATAAGCAATACCCCTTAATACAAATATTAATTATCCTAATAAATAAATTAACCAACTTCCCATTGCCTTCTCTTGACATACATCTAGTATCCAAGAGAAACGTTAAATTTAAAAACTGCACAGAATTATAGCCCTCATTTTTCCGAGTGGCAACAGTGATATATCAGCAACAATGGCTGTGTGCCACAGTTGCTGATATAATGAGAGAATTATAGATTTAATGCGATTTCATCAAAAAACATAAAATCAAAAGTAATCTCATTCGAATTTTAAAAAAATTGCTTCGAGGTGCACTGGCTCTTGTCTAGATGCACCTATGTACCAAATTTCGTAGCCCTGAGTCTATTAGATTACGCGCAGCAGGAACGAAAGACACACTCACCAGACAGACATACACTTCTTTATATATATATAATATATATATATATATATATATAAGATTGTTATGAGTAATATACTATAATATATTACTCATAATAATACATTTTACACACAAATAAGGTAATAAATTTAAAACAAAATTATTAATATCACAAATTAAATAATTCTCAACATTTTTTTATTATTTCATACATTATATTTATCCCATCATATTTAACTCACTATATAGGTTACATATCATGACTGCATGATTATGTATCATCTTTATTAACCTTTTCTTGGAAATAAATTTCAGGTGCAAAACTTTTTTTGACAACAAAATATACCCAGTGCATTTTGGTAATCCTTATGTGTTTCTTATCTATAGTTTTTATGCCCATAAATAAAACATCTCCTACGAGTAACAATTTGCATTTGTGCCTTCCAATACCTTCCTTCATATCCACCAATTCAGTACTGATTTCACTTATCAACACATACTTGCCAACCACTCAAAAACACTCAACCAAGACACTCAAAAATCAGGAGATTTTTCCCAATGTTAAAAAGACTTTTTAAATGATGAAAATATAGTTTTTAATAATGAATTAACTTAAATTGCACAGTATTATAGTAACTAATTCTTAAATGTACCTAATTCTTAAATGCAAGCAACACAAAAATACCTTACACATAAAAAACATTTTCATTACTTGCATCGTTTAAGAAAACAAAAAAAAAAAAAAAAAAAAAAAAAAAAAAACTTTAATCAGTTTTCGTACAAATGTTATAAACAGTGGCAAATTTTGCTTTCTTTAAGAAAGAAACTTCATAATTTTGTTCACAGCAATTGCCACGTAGGCCTGCTTTTGCTAATAAATTTCGCTTTCTAATGAGTCATCACTAATATTAGATCTAAATTTAGTCCTCATTTTCGCAACAACACTGAAAATCCTCTCCCACTCTGCATTACTGTGGGGAACTGTCAAGATGGCCAAAATAATTCTAGACAGTTCACTATATTTTAAAATTCCATCAGCACCTTTCAGTTTTCCAATTAAACTCCACTGGGTGTCAATCTTAGCTGATTTTATAACTTCATCCAAGTTTCCTAATTGTAAACTGCTGTTATGCAACTGTTGGAACTATTTCAATTTTTCCTTCCTTTTAAAACTCCTTTCAAGATAATAATAAATATCAACAACGTTTTCATTCACATTTATTGGTAAAGAAGCTGCCCCTTTTTCAACTGTGGCACAGTGGCAGGTTGGGCTCCAGTAAAAAGGCAGAGAACAAACATTCTGCATTAATAACGTTCATCCTTTGTTTCCAAAGAAAAATTTAATTTTTCGTTTTTTTCAAAACAACTCATGTTGTTCTTGTGTTTTTGTGTACGCACATGTTTGAGAACATCCGCCCTTCCACCATGCGAAATCGAAATATCGCAATGACAGGCGGTACACATCGCAAATTTATTACATTTCCTTGACGAAATAATGGAAGGAAAGTCAACTGTGTACGGTTTTTGAAACGTACACGAGTATTTCACCTTGCTCTCACAGACATAACAAACAGATGATAAATTCTAAAACTATTTTCTGAAGGCACGTGTACTCACACAACTCAGAACAAAATGACTGAAATAACTAAAGAACATCCAAATAACTGCTTGCTTTGTCCTCATTGACTAATATATGCCAGATGGCACGCAGTGGAGCACGATGCCCATTGGAGAACTGGAGAACGACGTTTCTGGATACGTATATGCTCTCACTCACAAAGCAGAAGTTATCTAATTCGCAAGGTTTTGTTTTATATATAATCTAGAGAAAATTCAATTGCTTTCATACATCCAAAATCACTTTTTTTTCTTCATGTAACAAAGTATTAAGCCAAGTTCCATAAAAATCGTGAGAAATTTTAAGAATAAGAAAAAGTCGGGAGAAATATATTGTAAATCGGGTTGGCGGGAGAGCGGTTGAAAATCGGGAGTGTTAGCAACTCTGTCAACATATTAGAATGGCAAAAAAGGGGGAAAATGCCAGATGGTTCATGGATTAGAAATTTACATGTAAAAAGACATGCTTAGCGATGCTGGCTGCATTCAAATCCTGGAGGAAGCACGGATGTTTGTACGTGTATAGTGTCTGTGTAGCACAAAAGCACTTAAAATCCTAGCAAGAAGAATGTCTTCTTGAGTTAGGCAAAGGAAAAGGAGTAACAGACTTTTGATCCATCCCCCATGGTGTGCTTCATCAAAACTGGGGTAGTACTAAACCAGCATGGCCATTTGTTAAAGTTCTAGTATTCTGCCTACTTCCTCCTGTCCTACCATCCCACACATCTGCCTGATCATTTGCAGACATTATAATTAAAAATAAGGAATAGAAATGCTCATTGTTGAACTTTATGTGTCTTCTCATATTATAGTAAATTCTTTTTAAACTTACATCCCAACTTCAGGGTGATAAGTACATAGGTAGGCAGTCTTTGCTATCACTGGTCAAAGAATTGGTTTCTGTACACATTTTTTTCACTTTCTTTTGTTCTATCTTTTGGCCTTTACCCTATTCTCATTAACAACATGTTAATGAGAAATAATAACATGTTAATGAGAATAACTCTCTTGAGTTAACATAATAAACTCTCTTGCTGCTCAAATTTCTTTTTTCTCCGACAATAGCCTTAATGTTTAAGTTTCTTAAGGCTACATTTGGAACTATTAGTGTGCTGTTAGTGCAAAGAAAATACACCATTCTTTCTTCTTTAATTCTTTAAAACAGAATGTTATGCTATAAAATGCAGGGAAGAAATACATTCTGTCTCCAATTTGCTGACAATTCTCTATCTCAATAGTTTGTGGATACTCATTTTACCCGATATCTTATAAAATTTGCACAACTCTTGAAAGAAACACCATGAATGTCGTGAAGGAGTATAATCACACAAATAGGCGAAAACCTCTTGTGTGCTTCTCTCTCCTTCAAAATCACAGCTCCGAATGCATGCATGTGTAAGCTCAAATATTCAATTCTGAATTTGCATAATTTTTCAGTGACAAAATTAACTTTTGATTCAACACTTTTCATAGATATAATTCGTAAATTCTCTTAATTTTGCACACAAGTGTACAAATATATAAATATATGCTTGTGTACTCTTTCACATCTCTGAATTTAGAAATTTTTTCTTTTAAATTAAAAGAAACACAAGTTCCCTATGCACCACATAGGGCTTACAGAAGTAAGTATGAAACACAATACAAAATAAACAAAAGAGAAAATTAAAGCAAAATCAAGAAGGATTACAAAGTTTTACAATGAACTGACAAAAACTGTTAAAGGCACTTCTCTTAGAAATAAATTGGTAAAATTCTGGAGCCAAGTTACTATTAAAATTTTTCAGTCCCAGCTTCAGTTTAGACACATTTGGAAATTGAGTTTCTCCTCATAAGCACAATTATTTAGAAAGAACAGAAAATAAAATTTAAATAAAAAAGAACATTTCAAAAATATATCTACTTCATCATAAAAACGTGTAACAAAGTAGAACTGTTCTGAAATTTTAGTAATGAATGGATAAATTTCAGTAAGGAAAAAAATCTTCTCTAATCTTGTTGAACTTTTTATCACAACTACATTCAGGAGAAATTTCAGAAATGACATATTCCTTTCTACCATAAAAGAATTTATATATTACAAATATTACAAGAATAAAGTAAAATTTTAAAAGAGATGTATTCTCGGCAGTTAAGCAAACGTCCTGGAAGAAACATGTTTCTTCCGAAAGAAACCTAATCCTGCCCATGACTGCACAAAACAAATTCCAAACAGTTAAAAAATTAGATAATATACTTACCCCTGATGATGGAAGTTTAGTGCAAACACAATTTATGATTATTTCGAGAGCTGCACGCTGAATATCAGGAACAGGCATTAACTCACCTTCTGCAGCCTGAAGTAAGACACTAAATTAAGAGAGTAAGTGATGCTAAATGTATTACTATTCAATATTTATAATTCTATAGGTTAAAACACATCTAAAAAAAATTTACATGTATGTTTCAGCTAACAAGACACCATAATAAAATCTAACTAAAAAAAGGAATTACTTTTGTGTTAACACTTTTCTCACAACACACAGATGCAAACTTAAAAGTGCAGTGCTTAACATAATGCACATACATAAAAATGCTTAGCATAATGCCTTCATTTGGAAGCTCACAAAATAAAAACTATTTAAATTAAAAACTCAGAATAATTTCCAGGTAATTATTTCATAGAATTTTAGAAATTTAATGAAAGACAAAAATTAATTTAATAGTAAATAAAACTAACACATAATAAAAAATAACATATTATAACATAATACTCACCAAAGTTCAGATTGTGCCAAACTACGCCAACCACACTCAGATAACAATCTTTCAGTCAAGCAATGTCGCCATTTTCACAAACTTTTTTTTGTATTATTCCAATGGCTTTTATGAACAAATCATGATATTTTATGCCTTAAACTTAATTTTATAATATGTAATTACATGATTTGCCAGCAGAGTAAAAAACTGTGGTGAATTTCTTCAAAAACAAAATTTTATCACAAAATCTCTGAAGAGAATAATGAGGAAATGTGTTTAGTAGATAGCCAATGTTAGTGGAGTTTGCCCTATGCTGTATATCTTCAGTTCTCTATCCCCAAGTGCATACTTGCCAACCTATGACACTCAAAAATCAGGAGATTTTTTTAAGAAATCGGAAGATTTTTCACAATGTTAAAAAGACTTTTTAAATGATGAAAATATAGTTTTTGATAATGAATTAACTTTAAATAGTAACTAATTCTTAAATGCAAGCAACACATACACATAAAAAACATTTTTATTACTTGCATCAAAAAAAACACTTTAATGAGTTTTTGTACAAATGTTATAAACAGTGGCAGATTTTGCTTTCTTTAAGAAATAAATTTCATAATTTTGTTCCTAGCAATTGCCACGTAGGCCTGCTTTCACTAATAAAAGTTTTTCTGATTTGTCATCACTAATATTAGATCTAAATTTAATCCTCATTTTCCAACAACACTGAAAATCCTCTCACACTCTGCATTACTATGGGGAACTGTCAAGATGGCCAACATAATTCTAGACAGTTCACTATATTTTAAAATTCCATCAACATCTTTCAGTTTTCCAATTAAACTCCACTGGGTGTCAGTCCTAGCTGATTTTATAACTTCATCCCAAGTTTTCTAATTGTAAACTGCTGTTATGCAACTGTTGGAACTATTTCAATTTTTCCTTCCTTTTAGAACTCCTTTCAAGATAATAATAAATATCAACAATGTGTTCATCCGCATTTATTGGTAAAGAAGCTGCCCCTTTTTCAGCTGCTAAATTTAAGAGGTGACAGGTGCACCTCATAATCTGCAAATCTGAATTTTCCTTTCTCAAGATGCCTGCAACACCAGTCTTCAAGCCTACCAATACTGGTGCATTATCGGCACCAAGTGCTAAGCAATCATCCAGAGGAACTGCATTTTCTTTTAAAGTTTTAATAATTAGCTGTGCTATATTAAAACCTGTCAAATGTCCTTCTAAAGTGGGGACAAAAAGAAAACTGTACTCAATTTCTAAAGACTCTGGATTTAAAAAAAGAAACAACAATTAGATACAGTTTTAAATCGGTATTATTGCTTCCGTAGAGAGGCAGAACGGAGCTGTTTTAATGCAATCAATAACTGAAGATTTATTTTTAAAATCCAGTTCTTTAACAATTGCACCTGTTTTGATTCTTGAGTATTTCTTATCGATTTCACTATTGGGAAACATTTTTCTAAATAAAACTGCAGCGTGATCCGATGCATTCAGTGGCAGGTTTGCTCCAGTAAAAAAGGCAGAGAACAGATATTCTGCATTAATAACTTTTTGGTCCTTTGTTTCCGAAGAAAAATTTAATTTTTCGTTTTTTTCAAAACAACTCCTGTTGTCCTTGTGTTTTTGTGTACGCACATGTTTTAGAACATCCGCCCCGATGCGAAATCGGAAAATTGCAACGACAGGCGGTACACATCGCAAATTTATTACATTTCCTTGAGAAAATAATGGAAGGAAAGTCAACTGTGTACGATTTTTGAAACGTACACGAGCATTTCACCTTTCTCACAGACATAACAAAAGATGATAATTTCTAAAACTATTTCCTGAAGGCACGTGTACTCACACAACTCAGGACAAAATGAGAAGAAGTAACTAAAGAAGCTACCAAAGAAGTAACTAAAGAACATCCAAATAACAGCTTGCTTTGTCCTCATTGGCTAATATATGCCAGATGACATGCAGGTGGAGCACGATGCCCATTGGAGAACTGGAGAACGAAGTTTCTGGATACGTAAATGCTCTCACTCACAAAGCAGAAGTTATCTAATTCGCAAGGTTTTGTTTTAGATATAATCTAAAGAAAATTCAATTGCTTTCAGACGTCCAAATCCATTTTTTTTTTGTTTGTTTGTTTGTTTGTTTGTTCATATAACAAAGTAATTAAGCGAAGTTCCATAAAAAAAACGTGAGAAATTTTAAGAATAAGAAAAAGTCGGGAGAAATATATTGTAAATCGGGTTGGCGGGAGAGCGGTCGAAAATCGGGGGTCTCCCGCCTAAATTGGGAGAGTTGGCAACTCTGCCAAGTGTAAACAGACCACTGCGTATTTGGGAAGAAAAACAGGGGAGAATTTTCAGAAGGATTTAAAAAGAAAAATGTATTGCTAATTTTTACAATAAATATCAGTAATTTGGGGATATTTTCAAAGAAAAAAAAAAAAAAAAACCACCAACTTGCACCCAATACGTAACGTTTACCTTTTTATCTGTAAAAAATAAACAAACTAATGCTACGGTGGTTGTGTTAATACATAAGTACTAAAAATTCTACAGATTTCCTTTTGTCACCCCCGATTTTATTCAAACAATCTTTTACTTACTTTATGCCTGTAACATGTAAGTATGCAGGACTGGATATTTTCTCACAAAACAGCAACTGTGTAGGTGATGTAAGAGAGCATATTTTTAAAATGTCAAGAGCACTCTTTACTGTCTCAGCTCTAAAAGGATTAAGAGATAAATACCATTACACATAATATAAGATTTATATATCGTGCATACATCTAATAAAACAAACTGAATATAATTCAGTATTCCTCAAGTGTTTTATCCTGGCAAATACTGCTAAAATAATATTCATGTCACAGCAGAAAATAGATAAATAATTAAGTAAATAAAATAATTAAAGATGCCAGATAAATCTTTTATTTTTAAGACATACACTTAGAACTATCATCCCAAATAGGCACCATGTAAATGAACTACTGCATTAACTCTGTGGGTTCAAATGGTTTAAGTCAGCATTTTTTAAACTGTGGATTGCAACCTTAAATGGGATCATATACAGAAACGTGCAGGTAAAGAAAATTTAACCAGGTTCATGAATTTAAAGAGACATTAGACACAACTCCTTCATAATCTTTAGTTTAACATATTATATTTTCTGAACACCATGTTATAAAATCCTACTACTGACCAAATTAAACTGCAAATTATATTTACACATAGAAAAATACCACTAATTGCACCATATTAATATTGTCACTTTGAAATTTCAACATATCAGTTATTTCAGAATCAAAGTACAATGCAAATACATAGCATGTAACATCTTGCACCACAACAGCATGCTGAGAATGTTCTTGAGGAAGCTGTAACTACTGTAGTGGTTTGGCAGCTGCAACTACTGTAGAGCTTGGTGCAGCTGCAACTACTGCAGCGATAATGCTTTTCAAAGAAAGTCAATAGCTTCTGTTTCATTGCAACAAGTGTGTATATTACAAGAACAATACAATATTGTATTTCAGTGTTTTACTCGACTAAGATTAGTATTTATTTGAACAATTATTACAAGAGATATTATTTTATTAATATTCTAAGATAAAATATATTTTACCCACGGATAATTGAACTTGAGTAACAAAGGTATGACTCAGATGGCAGCACTACAAAATCTCTTCAATAGGATCAAACAAATAAATAGGATCTAAAAATTACCAGAACAAATAGGATCTAGAACTTAGGAAGAAGCATCTAATATGAAAACAAAATATGATGATGTATTTCTTCAATTTGTCTTTATTTTCAACAACTGTGATGATAATGAGCAACCTCTTTGCTTACTTTGCGATAATATTTTGGCTATGAAAAGTATGAAAAACATCAAAATTAAAACACATCTTGAACTGAAGCACCCTTCTACTGGCAATTAACCAAAAGAACATTTCAAGCTGTTAAAAATTTCAAATAAAGAATAACAATACTTTGAGAAATTTAGAACGAAATTTAGCGAAAAATATTTACTCCTGTCATAGGAAGCCTCATTTCTGATTATTAAATATAAAAAGCCATATACCATTAGAGAAGATATTATATTACCTGCATTTACTGAAATGATAGAAATACTTTACAGAAGTAAATATAGCAAAGAAATTTAAAAAATTCCTTTGTCAGACACAGTAACCAATAGAAGTTCTGAAATTAGTAACGACCAATTCAAGCAACTTATTACTAGGCTTATTGCTACATTATTGTTACTAGAAGAAGGCCCAAAATTTACAATTCAGTTGGAAAAAACAACTGATATTTCAAAATAGTTCAACTTTTAGTATATGTCAGACACACTAAAAAAACATCAGTGAAGTATTGTTATCAAATCATTTTGTTATCAAATCAAAGAACATACAAGAGAGAAAGACTATATAGTAAAGTTGTTGAATTTTTTAAAACTGAAAGTTTGGAATGGAAATATTGCTTTGGAGCATGTGCAGATGGTAACAAAAGGTGATTATGGTTGAAATATTGGTTTTCAATATTTCAACCATAATCACCTTTTGTACCATCTAATTTTGTTGTACCACCAATTCAAGCAACTTATTACTAGGCTTATTACCACATTATTATTATATTACTTGAAGAAGGCCCAAAATTTACAATTTAATTGGACAAAACAACTAATACTTCAAAATAATTCAACTTTTAGAATATGTCAGACATACCAAGAAAACATCAGTGAAGTATTGTCATTTTGTTATCAAATCAAAGAAAGAACATACAAGAGAAGACTATATAGTAAAGTTGTTGAATTTTCTTTTAAACTGAAAGTTTGGAATGGAAATATTGCTTTGGAAAATGTGCAGATGGTACATACGGTGATTACGGTTGAAATATTTGTTTTAAATCAATTGTTAAAGCTGCTGGATCATGCAACTTTTACACACTGCCTGATTCATCGATAAACTCCTACAACAAGAAAATTAACAATGGAGTTGAACAATGTACTTCAGAATGCTGTCAAAATTATAAACTTTATCAACAGCTAAGCTCTTAATAGATAAAAATACAGACTCTGAATACAAAAAGTTTTTCCTGTATGCAAAAATAAACTAGGTGACGAGAAGGCAAAGTTTCAAAAGATTACTATCAGTAAAACTCAAAATTATGATATTTTCAACCAAACAAAAATCCGACCTCATTACTCTTTTTCAAAATAACTTTTGGATACCAAAGCTATGCTATTTGTCAGACTTTTTGAAAAATTAAATGATTTCAACTTGTCCATTCAAGGGAAAATTCCATGCTATAGTTTGTTCATAATAATATTCATGTTTTAGACACCAGCTTAGCCTCCAGATATTAACCCATAATAGATTATCTGTGAAACCTTTTAAAATGAAAGAAATCTATGCCAATAGCATCCAAAGTTTCCCTTGAACCTAATGACTTTGAACAAGTTTGGATTAAGCTAATAAGAGCAACGCAACTTCTGTAATTAAAGCTAAACGTGGAAACATCAAATATAAAAATTATGAATAAATATTGCTTGCATTCAATGATATAAAATTTGGTTTTCATTTATCTCAAAATAAATGCATTATTACAGGGTGCTTAATACTTTTGGCCAAGGAGAATCTTCAAGCAACAGCCATTTAGAAACAAAAGTTATTAGAGCTACGCAGAGAAGCTGTTGAAGCATAATCGACAATCTTGTATCTATTGTAGCTAAGCAGCAATTTGCTATTTGAAGAAGAGTAAGCTATTGCAGTTAAGCAGAGAAGCTAATGAAGTATAATCAAGAAACTTAAAAAATCTCTCTCCTTCTGAATAAAACTGGAAGTTATAAAATAATTTACAAGCTGACAAATTAAAATGTATTATAAATTCATAAATATATTTATAAATTCATTTATATATATGTAAAATATAAAAAAATACAATGGCTTTGCTCTAAGCAAACAAGCAACCTCTAACTTTCTGCAATTTCAGGATCTTCCCCCTAGACCAGTGCTTTCAAGAACATTCTAGAATGTTATGTAATTGCTACTATAAATGCAGAGTTCACGCCATTTTTCGTCAGAATGCTCTCTGCCATCGCTGCTATAAGAATCTGTGTTGCTCTGTCTCTTCTTCTCCCCTTTGTTGGAATAATTATGATGTTGAAAGTCTAAATTTAACCTTATTTTAATTTAAATCATTATCGGATATGTAATTTTGGAGAATCTAAAAGAATAGTGATCTGTCATTTTAAGTGAATAAAGATATGGAGTTTTTAAAAGTGAAATTCTAGCAATGCACTAGCACATTAAAAGTGAAATTCTAGCAAAGCATTAGTACATTAGTGAAGGAAAATTTTTCTTGCTTCACTAATGTACTAGTGCTTTGCTCTCCCGGCCTCTCGTTTTGAGGGGTGGGAGATGTTAAATATAAAAAGTACAATGGCTTTGCTCTAAGCGAACAGGCAACCTCTAATTAACTTTCCACAATTTCCAGGATCTTCCCCTTAGACCAGTACTTTCAAGAACATTCTGCCATGTTATGTAATTGCTACTATAAATACAGAGTTCACCCCAATTTTCATCAGAATGTTCTCTGCCATCGCTGCTATAAGAACCTGCACTGCTCTGTCTCTTCTTCCCTTTGTTAGAATAATTATGACGTCGAAAGTCTAAATTTAACCTTATTTTAATTAAAATCATTACTGGATATGTAATTTTGGAGAATCTAAAACAATGTTTCTCAAACTTATTTCTTCTACCGCCCCCTTTGAAAATCAATTATTTTTCATCGCTCCCCATTTTTTATACACTCCTAAAACTTAAAAACCACAATTTCATTACTTTAATTAATTTAGTTATAGTATGCTATATTAGTCGGTTCTGGTGTTTAAACTTACATTCTAAACTAGAAATTTTTACCAGTGAGAGCAATTAAAACGCAACTTTATAATATTAATAATATATTTTAATCAAATTAAAAGAAACAATATAGATAGGTAATCAATTTTAGTTTTTAAACTAATCTAATGGGATGGATGAATTTGATGATTTTTAACAAGTTTTTTGATATCAGGTTCGATTTTACTCAAAAACAGTCGTAAGTCGCCGCGTTTGGTAACTTGCAAATGATTTCTCTTTTTTTTTAGTAAGCAGCGTTGTCACAGCGCTAAATCCACGTTCACACAAATATGACGATGGGAATGATATCAAAAATTGTTGAACGATCGACCACAATCCAGGGTACAACTGCGGAATTGACTTTTGTAGCCAAAATTGTTGGTAGCCATTTTTAAATTTGCTTTTTATTTCCTCGTTCGTTGTCAGTTCTATAAGTTCTTCTTCCAGCTGGGGTGATATTGCTATGTTGACTTTTGAAAAAGGATCTAACACCCAGTCTGGTATTTCCAATTTCAAAATGTCCTGGAATCTTTCAATGAAATCACTGTGAAGATTTTCCAAATGTTGGCAGTAGACGAGCAAGTCGTCGTTGTTGCAGGATACTGATAAATTGGGAAAATTATGGAACTCACGTCTGCCGATATTCTTCTTGTGTAAGAGCAGCTTGGCTACGAAAGCAGCGACGATATTTTTTTGTTTTTAAGTTCAAGTCATCGCCTTGAAGTTGGAGCTTCATATCATTAAACAATGTATAAAGGTCTGTCAAGTATGCGATATCATTCTTTGACGTGATGAGGTTTTCGCGCATGCTGTGTCTTTGTTTTCCAAGAACTGTATGACAGAGTCAAACAGATTGTAAAAACGAGTCAGACAATTTCCTTTTGATAGCCAACGCACTTCTGTGTGAAAGATCAATCTGTTGAAAATCTTCATCATTAGCAACACAAAGCTGATTAAATAATCTGTCATTTAAAGAGTTGTTTCGGATTTTATTGACTGCTCTGATGACATGTTGCAATGATTGAAACAGTCGTTCACTTAAATTTCTAGCAACTAAATGCTGTCGATGTATAACGCAATGTACAGCAATCACATCAGGAATTTTTTTTTTTAAGTACGACATGAAGCCTTTTTGAGACCCTGTCATAGCTGGAGCACCATCTGTAGCAGCTGATATAATATTCTTCAAGGGAATTCCTTTTTCATCACAAAACTTTTCCAGTGTTTTAAATATGGTTTCTCCTTTTGTGTCTGTCTCTAAATTTCTAGCAAATAAAAGTTCTTGACATATTTTTTCATCTTTAATGAACCTCACGTAAGACAACAACAATGCTTCATTAGTTGGTAAAGTGGACTCATCCAACTGAATTGAAAATTGACTAGTCTTCAGATGATTGCACAATGACTCTTCAATGTTTTCAGCCATTTCATCAATTCGTCTTTGCACAGAATTATTGCTCAAAGGAATTTTTCGAATTATATCTGCCGCCGGTTTATGGAGCACAGTAGTTATAACTTCTTTTATTTATCGCCGGCAAAATTAACGTTTCTCTCCGATGGTGTGTGGTTTACCTGTTTGAGCAATTAACGGAGAGATATTGTATGAAGCTCGAAGTCCGTCATCGTCTTGCTTAGCAGCCATCGAAAAAAAGTTTCGATACACTTGGCTGAGCATTATGCTTCTTTTCCAGATCTTGAAAATAGGCTACATTTTTGTCCTTCTTATCTGGATGCATTTTATTTAAATGATCTTGAAGTCTTGAAGGCTTCATCGCTTCGTTTGAAAATGTTTTTGAACAAAGAAGGCACAAAGGCAAAGATGGGTTTGTCGAATTTTCTATGAATCCATATTTAATATATTCTGCACTGTATTGCCGTTTCTTCTTTTTTTTTTGCTTGCGAAATGGCTTTTTTTTTTTTTTTTTTTTTTTTTTCCAAAAATATGTAAATAATGTGTTGAATTTAAATACTCGTTTAAAGATAGCGCGCAAAACCACTAATGAAAATATAAGAAAAATTACGAGCTTTTATATAGGATTTAAATACAGCAAGCACCGACAGGAATAAGACAAACACGCACAAACTCGTTTATCTCTTTCGACGCTCAATCGTACTGAGCAAGTTAGGACAAGTATCGATGAACCAGCCGATTGCTACCACGTACAGTCCGTTTTCGTATTGCAAAACCGCCACCTGTCGATGATTCTATTCTGAAAAGGGGCGATACGCTGAGATGGACTTTTTCCTCAGACCGGTTTTTCAGAAGCACGGAAGCATGCATGTTAAGTAAACATTTCTCTTTTGTCTCAACCCTATTTTGATGAACTCGAAGCAGACCTGACGCATGCGTAAAAGCGCTGAAGGTTTCTCCAAACGAAAACGGACAGTACGTCTACGGAGCACAACATCATAGTGCCCGGCTCCCCGTTCTTTCCCCCAAATGTTTGCCACGGTTCATAGCCATTTTACTTAAAAAAATAGCACTATAAGCTTTTAAGCCCTTTTAGGAAAAATAGCCCTCGCTAATACATTATACAACTGCATAACCTAAAAATTATATTTGTATTTAATAGAGCATGCATATTTATTAAGAGAATAGTATACCTCAAAGGACAACATTAGTTTTTTTTTTTCTTTTCTTTTTTAAATTTTAAATGACAGTTCAATTTACAGAAGTTTACTATGAGAGAAAAAAACTGCAGACTAAACTAATTACAAAATTTAATGATGATATTTCAGTTGAAAATATAGAAAATAAATAATAATAAGCCGTAATAATTGTATTCGTTAGCACCTAATAAAAAATACAATTTATTTTTCACTCATATTAATATTTAAATATTTAACTTAAATAAAATTCTGAACATTTCTAAATTTTCATTCCATAACAGTTTCCCTCATATATCTCAAACAAAAGTATTTAGAAAAAAGAGGACATTTCTGAAATCAGGACGGGAAATTGCTTCATTCAGTCATCCTTCCTTTAACATAAAAGCTTAACTACCCGCATAATCGAAATTCCCGAATATTCCAGATAGTAACTGGAAAAGAGGTGGGGGAGATTGTAGCCATTCTTTAGACTTAAATTAGGCTAAATAAATTATTTGACATTTCGATATGTGCATCATAAAAAACCAAGGGAACTGAGAAATATTTTGCTTAGAAAGCACAGTTAAAACTCTTTTAAGTGTTCATAAACAAATCTCAGACTGAACACAAAATTAATTATCAATGCAAAATACCGCAAAAACGTTATTGCGCAATACGTTCGACGTAATTCTTCCATATGTGATATTACACATCGAATCAACACCTGCCGGTATTCGGAGAATAAACTAAATAAGGAAAAGAAAGAGATTTACTAATCTGGGGTGTTTCTGATTCTAATTTTCAACAGACTGTATTAAATTTCCGGAAAGAATCAATCTTCGCTTGGGTT